ACAAATCTCAAGTTTTTGTCGCATAGTTGACTTATAACCGTGTAATTTGACTAGAAATAGAGATTTAGTAATGCTTTGTATTCTGTTATAGTTATATTAGAAATTAGTTTTAAACATAAAATTATGAGTGCAATTATGAGAGGAGCATTGGAGCTCCTTTTTGTGCAATTATGAGAGGAGCAAAATTTAGAGTTTCCGAAACTATCGCGATCGTCAAGGACCCCGATTTTTACGCAACACATATCTTAATTATGAACTCCGATCAATGTGGGAAAATAGGGATCAGAAAATGGGATACGTTTGTGTTAGTGCCCTTTGTAACACAAGGTTTTTCTTATGAGCCCCAATGAAGAATTAGCTTGGAAGTTAGAACACCAAAATTTAAGTTAATTTCTTTACTAATGCACGCTTTTATTTCTCCGAAAGTCGACAAAAATTAATTTAGAATGGGATCTTGGGCGAAAACACAGAATACTATACAAACTCGGTCCAATGCGTATTCGCTTCGTTAATATCGACGACTCAAACTATCATCAGTCTTGAAAAGATCCGGCCAAATGATACGACCTTCTGTGAACAAGTCACGAAAAGTTCAAGAACTGGCGACAGGCCACATCAGGCGCCGACATCGCTCCTTAGCGCCGACATCGCTATGTTATGTTATGTTAAAAGCAGGCCTTAGCACACGACTCTTTTTTGGCTGCCGTATCTCGGGTTACTGGCAATGTTAGGTTTGCTTCATGCATCACTCGCATTCAAATGCTGATGCCACTGTTCATCACAAATTTCTTCCTTTCCAAGTTTTCCTTTTGTTTGCACATTTTTAACTGAATATGAAGCTCTGAGGTCTTGCAGTATAGATAAATATTACATGCTTATTGCATTATTATTATTAATGCAATTAGGCTTATGAGATTAAAATATTTATTATTATAGATTATTAAATGCTTATTGCATTACAGGGTCATCAATATTTAGCGTTACATTGTTTTTTTTCAAAATCAATACACTCGCAAAACAGTCAAATGTGTCGTTTGGAACCATGTCAACTGTTCTCCGGAAGGACCTAAAGTTGTCCCCATTCAAGCATGTCAAAAACACCAACTGTCTGCTCAAGTTGTTGACAAACGCCTCCAAAGATCCAAGCATGGTTGGAGGCGTTTCCAAAGATCTAAGCATTCAACCATGGATCCAAGATTCTTCTTTCCCGCATTCATGATGGCACTGTTGCGGGAGACCACCAAAAAGTATATGTTGCGGGAGATGAACATACACTGGCAATCCCGACGAGATAGTGGAATAAATCGACGCCAAAAACTCTAGAAGGCCAGAAATGAAGGTAAAATCTACGTTATAAATCTTTATTAGGGAAGCTAAAAGAACACACGACCTTCAAACTTATAAACACGGGCAGTTAAAATACCCTACCGTCCCTACGCTAGGTACCCACAGACGGCTAAGAAATATCCTACGCTAGGCAAACGCAAGACGGCTAAGAAACACAGACGGCTAAGAAATATCCTACCCTAGGTAAACGCAGACGGCTCGGAACGCCATACACTAGGTAACAGACGGTTCGAAATTCCCCAATGCTAAGGAAACACAGACTTAAAAATGACCCTACACTAGATAAGCACAAAAGGTGCCTGTACACAGGGATAGTACTAGCCGCTAGTTCATCCGGCGCTTGAACTGTCCACGCTACTAGCCTCGTGTATAGGGGTTCAGCCGCTTCAGAGGCATGCGCCGGCAAGTGCTCGAGGCGCGGTCGAGAGAGACAACGATGTGTTGATATCTTTGCTGGAGATGGAGAAGTGGCTAGTAGCGCTGATGCAGCCATGGTGAGAGCATCTGTGCCGCTCCTGTGAAGTATCTTGGGTCACGTAAATCATGGCTTGTTTGAACGATAATGTCTCTAAGAGGAATCCAACAAAGTGGATTCCATACGATATTCAATTATTCTTTGAAATATTCCAAAAATATGAATTAAAGTATAATGTTTTCCATGATGGTTACTCCAAGAAAATGAAGAGAGAAACGAGTATTTTGAAACGGAAAGAAGACCTTATTAGTCAGGATTTAGTTGTTCCCGACGCTGTATTTTTAAGGGCTAGAATATGGAGTATAAAAAAGACGTACAGACTCGAGTTGTTGAAGGTGATCACACTATCCATCTTCACAGACCTCACTCGACGGCTTCTAACGACTCGCTGGCGGGCGCGAACGAGAAGATATAGCGGCACCTTATACTCTCCTCGTGTGTACAGACTTACTAGCCGGATAGTCACCAAGCGACCGACACTAGCCAGATTTACTAGCCGTCTGCACTATCCCTGTGTACAAGCACCTAAACGGCTAAAAAATGCCCCTACACTAGGTAAACACAAACGGCGTACGATGTTCTTCCACTAAGCAAGCACGTACAGACGATTTACAGTATGTTCCATTAGGTAAACACAGACGATTTAAGGATTTTCCATTAGGCATACACAAACTATATACAATATTTTTCATTAGGTAGACACAGACTATTTACAATATTTTCCATTAGGTAGACACAGACGATTTACAATATTTTCCAGTCGGGCGAACAATGACGGCTGACGATAATTTTCCGCTTGTAAAAACAGACCGTTTCATCCGAAATTTTATAAGATACAAAGCGGGTGGCCACTCCAGATGCTGGCAGCTAAATGAATAAGGGAGAGTATACTCGGCACACTCCCCTAGTAAACAGCGGAACTCGACAAGAGACTGGCTACAGCACGTTGCCAAACCTAGTTTTCAGTGATGAGAAGATATTCAATGTTGAACACCACTTCAACACCCAAAATGATCGAATTTGGTCGAAGAATGGGACGAAGGATCCCGTGTGGTGACTAGGAAGCAATTAATGCCCGACCTCAGTGATGGTCTGGGCAGCCGTAACAGAGTCCTCAAGGAGTCCCATCTTTCTTGTTGACAAAGGGGTGAAATTGAATCAGAAAAACTATCGAGATGCCATCCTTGTTGGTGCATTGTTGCAGTGGGCACGAAAGCACTTCAAAAAACGCCCCTGGTCGATCCAGCAGGACTCTGCACCATCCCATGGGGCCAAATCGACTCAGGAGTGGCTGTCCGAGAATGTTCCCCACTTCATTACCAAAGATGAATGGCCCCCATCGTCACCCGATCTGAATCCTCTGGATTTTGGGATCTGGTCATATCTTGAGGGCAAGGTCTCGACCGTTCACCAAAGCAGTTTGGACGCCCTAGACGTCAAACTGCTGAAGGAGTGGGCCAAAATCCCGTAGAGTGTCAATTGTGACTCGTAAGGCTTTCTTTCTCTAAGCGTCTACAACTCGTTATTGATGCAGATGGTGGACATATTGAATAAAATTGTGGGAATTGTATCGCTGAACCTCTGCCTAAATAAATACATTTTTAAACATTCACAATTGTGTTTCATTTCATAGTTCTAACCACTCAAAGTTGCAACGCTAAATATTGATGACCCTGTAGTTATACAAAAGCGTTTTGCACTCCAAGTTTCGGATTATTATAACTGTGGCACAAACTTTACGTTAAAGATTAGTTTGTACTCTGATTGCACGATTATGAAGCTCAACAATATTTGTGTCATAAATGGTTTGGACCTCTTGACTCCAATAATTTAAATGTTTAGATTTGATAAGGAATTTAAAAGCAAAGAAAACGCCAAGAAAATTCACCATATCGATATTGAAAACGTTTCGGAGTCCAGCTCCATCATCAGTTCGACTAAACTAAAATGAATAAAATCACTTCAAAAGTCAAAATTCAGAGACAGACATAAAACCTAAACAAGACCTAACATTAACTCAGTGACATGTCCTGTATTTATTTGGTCTTGTCTTTTTGCTAAACGGTATTACGTAAATTCATGGAAATATTTAGAAATTGCTCCATGTCTGTTTAGAAATTACTAAAATTCCCTATACTAATAATTTCAAAGGCAATTCTAATCCAAATTAATCTAAATTAATCTAATCTAAGGCAATTAACAAATCGTTTTAATTACAATACGCAATAATCGCAGTGTGTGTCTTGGGTCGCTCATTGGCTAATATGCCATTGATGTCATGTTACAGAGAGCGGTATCATTGCTACCATGGCTCATTTGTAGCCATGATAACACTGAGCCATTATAACACTGAATGAGTAATCGCTATCATGGCGAATTCAAACCCATGCATACAAAGCAAATCTGCCTAATGAAGAACGCATGGTTGAAATATCACTCGTTAATCGTTATAGAAAACGCGCACACGACAGTTTTTCTCTCGGAACCGTAATGCAATCACAAATAGGCCCGAAAATCCAACCATAAAACTGCCTTTAAAAAAAAGGATTGAGCGATTAAGCAGCAGAAGCACGCTAAAACAAACTATCGCTACTATACTATACTTAAATGATTAACCATTAGAGAGTCATGTAAAACTTAGGTTTATCATCTTGAAAATGAAATCAAAAGCAAAACATTGACCGAAAAAATCTCAGAGATAATGTGGCGAATGGTGGCGTTCAACTTAAATATCCTAGGAAGCAGAACTCACAATTCTCAAACGATCACTTCCTTCAGTTCGGTCGTGACATACTCAAACAATTCCAAGAGACTACTAGCAAACTAGAACTAAAATTTACACTCACTTCCTTAAATACTGGAAGAGAAACAACTATACATGAAGAGGTTATGCAGACAGGAGATATAGAGGCACAAAAAATGAGATAAATGCTGGGATACCACAGAATTTACTAAAAAATTATTTTGTCGATGCTGCGATGACTCGTCGAAAAAAATAAAGTTCAAAACTTTATCCACAGATAGTATTAGTGTACAAACCTTATCATAGGAAAACTATTCACGAATTATTGGTTACTACCACCATGAATTGTCCATGAAAATATAGAACACAGCTTCATTGCAAAGTTTCGCACAGTAATGTTTGCTGCTTCAGGGTAAATGCTCCTTTAAGGTGAAATTAGCTTCTTTTGTGTGCTGCTGATGTGTTGACGTTGCTTCTTATGGATGACGATGCTTCTTGACGTTGTTTCTTCATCGGGTCAACCGCGGCTGTAAAATAGTTCAAATAGTAGTGAAGGCTTGATCATAGTACGTACTCTATAGCAGTAGTAATGGTATTATTGGTGCTTACAGTAGCAGTAGTTATAATTGTATAGCAGTAGAATTGTAAAAATATTAATGATGTCAAAAATGTTAGCAATGTTTATGGTAGATAACCATAACTCCGATAAAACACAGGGCCACCTTCAAATTACCAGAAAAAAATTTATTTGGTCCAAAAATTTTACATCCCAACCCCATCGGACAACCAACTGAAGGATGGCAATAAGTTGACGATTCGAATTTTGTATAGATGATGCAGGTTTTAAGAAGTGGTGAAACCGAACAAACCGTTATCTTTTTGATTCATTTATTATCGGGCATTCAAAAAATGCGGTATTAAGGGATTTATTAAGAAATACTCACGAATTAAGAACGACTTGTTTACAGAATGAAAATGCAAGGCCTTGAAAGTACAGTTCCTAAAAAATAGTTCAACACCCACAGAATTTCAGAAATCGATATCAAACAATCTAAAACACAAAATCTATCAGTATTTCAACAAAATCATTTAGAAGCAACTACTCACGGATACGAAGCTCAATAAACTTTTTCTCGATTCTCTCGACTTCAATAATTGGTTTGTAGGGGATGCCCTTGTAACAACCATTTTCATGGCAGAATTTGAGCAGTTTCCCCCAATTTGATCTGGAAATTTCAGTGATTCAGGAATCCATAGAACAAGCAATAATCGACATGCAACAGATTCTCAAGAGAGCTGTATAAATCTTATGAATATTATTATGTTACTATCGAGGCAAAGGCATATATATTCAAACAGCGGCAACTGCATGTCTCAGACATGCGTTTAGCATAATCCGTGATATTTAGGAGCAAATTTGATCTAGTCTTTTGGAAACAACGGACGTTCTTCACTTGAATTTTCTATATATTTTGTACTGGATGGGCAGTCCGGATTGAAGTTGAGAGAAATGCAACATTCAGCCTCGAAATTAGAATTCCAAAAATGTCTCAACAATAGGTTAAAAAAATTGTGTAATTGAAAATAGCTTTGTAAATAAATAATGGTAAACTGTCGAAAATACGCATTTCCATAAATATTCAAAAATAATATAGTTATGATGAAAGCGTTTTAAATTTCTGTGTTATTTACACAAAAAGTAAGCCACATCAATAATTTGCTGATGTACCAAAAAATACAAAAATGAAATTCGTGAGCATAAAATGCACTTAATTTGCACAACTCAAAATAAAGCTGTAACAAATCCTAATTCTAATAGCGAGAAAGCCTACAGAAACGCACTTGTCGTCTTCGAGCAGCCATGGAAACCCCACCACAATGAGGAGAGCTTGGGCTCGAGTGATGGCCACATTGAAGCGCTGCAACAAGAATTTCCGAGTCAATAACCAACAACTCTTCAACCAATCAACTTTTCCACTAGGTCATACTGCAAGGCAGCACCATCTATTCAGAAGTTTTAAATTACAAGCATCAGGTCCTCGACCTACACCACCATTAGGACCCTACGCCAACACATGTCGCACCCGGATGTCAGTTGTAACAATCGCGTCTTGGTGTGGCTGACCTAAAACAAGACATAAAATTAACAATTACGCTCAAGACGAGCCTGCTTTGCCTGATCGTTATTTTCGGCAAGACTCGATCAGTGCCCCAAATACGCCGACGGACTGGCGTGATTAACCGAGTGACATAAAGTACAGATATATGTCTTATAATTGACATCTTATCAACTATATCATAAGATCCAAAATTATAAAAATTCAAAAACGAAAACGTATGAAAATAAAGAGCACGCATCGTTATATTTTTCTGTTATATGTGTTCAAGCATGGAAAATGCAAGTATAATGAAGTATATGTAAAATAAACCAGCGTAAACCTTCTCTCATACTCCACGCATTTTATGTTCCAAAGCATTGCTCCGGCGAGTTTCCTCCTCTCAGCCATCCAGCCCCAGCGCAACTCCAAAAACTCCATCAGTAGCCAAATCGTGCGCACAGAACCTATTTCGTTAATTCCCGTGATTTAATTTTCACCTTCATCTTCATGGCCAGCCTTTTGTCACTACTTGTTTCGTTCTCATTCTTCCCTTGCAGCACTGCACTCCACCACCAACAACACATCAATGCATACGAACGCAAATACCAAAATTTTCTCAAAGTATAGTGAAAGTTAGAAAGGTTTTAGGCATAATACAAGCGAATGTCATTCGAGGCTTTGCAATTCTAATCAGTAAACGATCCTGGAAGCTGAAGTTCACTTTGGAAAAACTGAAACAATTACTAAAAAAAATTGTCAAGATCCAAAACATAATTGTCCACGGAAGAAACGGCCAGCGATATCATTCACTTGCTATATACAGTTGAGAACTCAAACAACAACACACAACATCGGAGAACTACCTTGGGGTTAGAGAGAAAGCCTAGTTGACTTGAAATGTAGTCGATGGATTGCGATTGCGCCAGGTTTTCGCGCGCAGGCGCTCTGGGTACTCTGGTCAGGTGCTCTGGGTACGCGCGAGCTGTCGACGTGATCAGTCGCTCCGGGTTCGCACGCACAGTCGACACGATGACCACGAGGCGTTCGTCGCCTTGGAAGGCTTCAGGCGTGCCAATGAGCAGGGCGTTAGTCACTTTCCCTAATTTCGACAAGAGATCCTGACGAATCTGAAATGATATGAGAATACAGGAATCATTCACACATTTCCAAGAATATATCAATCTACGATGGCTTAGGGCAAGCGACAATATCATTTCGAGTTCGAACTCGAAGGTCTTACATGCATGCATGTACATAGTCACCGAGTGCCCCTAATACTGCATTAGACATTAAAATTTATTGTTATTTGCATTATATCTAACTGAATGTGCTAGTAAACCGTGTTTTAAGTAAGTTTTCTGGTTGAACTCATAACAATGCGCTGATTTTACCAAATCGTTGGGCGTATAGCAAAAAAATTAGATCACTACTCACTGCAGTGAGTGACAGAGAGCGCATTTTCTCGGTGAACGCGAAAACGTTGTCACGGTCGGACGGACGGACATGACGAGCACAATAGCGCTTTTTCAATAAGTGAGAAAATGCGCTAAAAAAGTATGCAAATCATTGCTAGCTTATTTTGTGTTGGGCTGTGAACATTTTTTTAAGTAAAGAATAATTAATTAAGAATCGTTCGTGACTGAAAAATTTTTCGCGCGACACCTAAAAGCTTCTGCCTAATATAGTTTGAGAATAACTGATTTCGACATAAGAAAGCCATTTCACCTGTTGGACGATAATGTTTAAGCAGAACTCTAGAATGCACTACTAATGTTCTGGCTCAGATTGTGATTTGCCGTTGAAATTATATACTGTTAATTGTTCTCTTATTTAGCTTTTTCACAACAGAAAGTAAAAAGTATAACTCAGTACTCACTGCAGTGAGTGACAGAGAGCGCATTTTCTTGTCAACGAAAACGTGGTCACGGACGGACGGATCGACGGACGGACAGACAGACGGACGGACATGACGAGCACAATAGCACCTTTTTTCCAAATGCGATAAAATAAATAATTTGACAGTTAATTTGTTTGTTGTTCTCCACGAACTAAAAAAACAGGCATTTATTGTTTAACGTATACAAGCTCTCAAATTATTTCCCTTCACAGAAACACACACAATATAAGATAAGGCACAAAATTCACCTTCTTCATTTGATCCCGGTAGGGAGTGACGATGCCGATATCTCCTGGTTTAACGTTCATCTCTTCGATAAGTTGCTTCACGTACTCGACGACCTGAGCGACTTCAAAGACATTGAAGTAGCTGGGGTTGTTGGCCCGCCTTTCCTCCCTGCCATTGACACCGTGGAACACGATGGGTATTTTAGCATTCGGCAGCTTGTCCCATTTCAGCATCGAGTTTATTATACGTTCATCCCCTTTGGCTTCAAGTTGGTTGTCATAAAAAAGTTCGTTGGGAACTTCAAGAATGCGTGCATGCGACCGATAGTTTTCCACGAGCTTAGTGATGTAGAGACGGTTGAATTGCCCTCCTTTAGCTTTGTACATTTCCCCGTCCATTAGTCGTGCTAATAAACTTATGTCCAAACGGAAGTTTTTGAGAAACGGATTTTCGCGGAGGTACACATTCGAGACGACTGGTCCCAGCTGTAAAGGATCACCAGCCAGAACAACCATCTTAGGAAGAGCCAGCAATGGTATGAAGGCTTCTGGCTCCATTGCGTACCCACACTCGTCTAGAAACAAGTTCGAAAACCAAGATTTGCTTTCATTCTCTCGTATCAAAGGCAAGACGTGATACGCAGACGAATAGGTGGTGATGACAATGTTGTACGAGCGCACCATGTCCATGTTTGGGATCGAGATTAAGTCAGCCTGACGTGAGCTCACATTCTTAACATTTTGTGGGATACCAGAGCATTGACGAGATAGAGCGTTCACTCTCAGTACTTTGGAAGCAGGAATGTGTTTCAGAAGTCCTTCGGTGAGTATATCACAACTTGCATTAGAAGGACCACACACGAGTATTTTATCATTTTTGTTTCGCGTGTAGACTTGCTTGATGGCTTCCAACATCGTTGATGTTTTGCCGGTGCCAGGAGGGCCGAAAATGATGTAAGGCGCAGGAGCGCTTACTCGATTCACGATCGCCTCCACCGCCTGCTTCTGCATTCGGTTCTTGCCCACGTTTTTATCGAAGTAGTTGTCAACACTAACGAGATTTGCTTCATCGAACCTGTCATAAATACGCAATATAAAAGTTTAATGCACGATACTAGGATAGTGCCTACTAACGATCATGCTGTGCAAGTTAAATTGATAGAATCGTATAGGCTGATGTATCAACACAGTGCACGGCGAGAGAAAATTCGACAGAGTTAAAATGCAAGGTTACACTAGTGCAGTGGTTCCCAAACTTTTTCAGGCTGGCGCACCCTTTGGCTCCCCAGCGAATCTCTAGCGAACACCCCCCCCCCCCCGACAGACACATATAAAAAAACGACTCTTTCTTGATATTTAGTATGCTGCAATTTTAAAAGAGAAAAGTTAAACGCAAATGTGTAATTAACAAATAGGACCCCATTTAGTAAACCAATATATTTTTTGACAGTTTTAACTGTTTCAGCACTAGAAATTCAAGACCGCTCGGACAAGCTTACGGCCGGATTCGTGGCCGGTCTCGCAGTCGGTCTCACGGCCAATCTCAAAATTCAGTGGCCAAGGAATATCTCCCAAACTAATGAACGCAGCTCTATAAAACTTGGAACACGTATTCATTAGGACATAACGATGATGTTAGCTCGTGAAAATTTTTGTAAAATTTCTCCTTCATTCGGGAGTTATATGGCGATATGGGCCGAAATTCGCAGTGATCAAAGAATTTCTTTGAAACTACAGAACAGATTTAAACGAAATTTTTAATATAAATTCCTAACTACCAAACGCTGATTTTCAGCTAGTGAAAATTTATTCGAGTCGGAGTCATGTTCTGCGAGTGTTGCGTACAAATCGTCAAACTGCCCCCGGATCTTTCCACCGTCCACAGGGGGGTGATAACGCCCACTTACAACTACTGCACTGCACTAGAGCAATTAAAGCTTTAACACGAATTTAAAATTCTTTGCTCGAAAACTTACTTTGTACTGGGCTTTGGAAACAGAATGGGAAGTACTTTCTGGTAGTGTTGCAGCACTTTATGGCAACGAATGTAGGTGCTCCTGCAAAACCAGAACTGAACGTTCAGTTTCATCCCTGCCGCGTACAAGAGAAAGAACTCTTCACCGAAACCCAGATGAAGTGTTTCGTTTCTGACATCATGAACAATTCCTTCGTAAGGCCAAGATGGCTGCTGATCACTAGGCAGCCTCACGAAAACCGAGTCTCCTGCTAGGATTGCTGGATGCTTTTCTGCCACCCCAGGCACATGCAGAGTAGCCATGAGCTCGCCATGCTCGTCTTCGTTCACTTCGATATCAACTCCATCCAGATGGTAATACTGGAGATTGACTTCCCTTTCAATTTCATCAATCCACAGCATTGTTTTAAACCATTTGTCGTAGTTTTTTTCCGAGAGGCCCTCTTGCTCTAATTTCATGAGACGTTTCAATTCGTTCCAGGCTGAGCTCGACGAAACTTGTTCGTTGCTTTTCAATTTGTTTCCGGATGATTTTTTCGACAGAACTTGTTCATTGCGCTCCAATTTATTCCATGATGATTTCTTCGACAAAACATGTTCATAGAAATTTTCTACCACCAATTCACGCAGATTCTCGGGATACCGAAACAAGTATTTGAATTTTGCTGAAGGGTCTCGACCTTTCAATGTTTTTCCTGGTGAATATTGTGAGGGTATTCGAGGTGCTTTCCGTCTTCTCTCGATCTAAATAAAGTAAATTAAACATTTTATCGCTGTGAGCTAAATCTATGCCTGATCAATTTCACATAACTCCTTAAGTAGTTTGAAAACTCAAACAACACACAGTACCAGATATATGATATATAATTTAATATATGTAGCTTTCCGGTTCAACGAATAATTTTAAAATCATTTCTTACACACTGTAATTTGAATTCATTCAAATGTCAGGCAATCCGAAAAATTTCATTCGAGTGAAGTAAGTCGATAATAAGCAAGAGGTTATAGAGGTTATATATATCTCTGGAATACTATTATTATCTTAGTATAAAACTCCGCAATTAAATGTCATAATATGAGTTTTTCAAATAAACACATTTCTTCATTTTAGTTGTTCAATTATCTACCAATTTGGCTACAAAGAAAATCAAGAGATGAAATGAGGAATTGACGAGGAAAAATCTTAAGATATGACTGAAATAATAGAAAAGCAGTCATGATGGGCCGATAATGCGTTAAACTTCATATGAAGAGACATCGGTCACGCACCTTCGACTCTTCATTGTTTTTAAATGCTTCACCGGGAACTTTGGGGACGTCCTGGGTCATATAGTTGATGCACTGTAAGAAATTAAATCTCTCACATATTAAAAATGTGGAGTAGGTTTAAAAGTACATAAACGAAACTTTGTTCGGAATGTCACAGGAACAGTACCGCCGCTTAAATTTACGAGCATTGTGAGCATTAAAATATGGGCGGACGCGTTGCATGGGTGCGGCGCGTGAGAAACATTGTTGAAAACCGGCCAAATTTGTGCGACATGGTTCATCACCCGGTCTACAAAACTCCTATGTCTTCACATCCTTTTATCACGGTCACGGTACAACAGACGGCATTTTAAAAAAATTTTCCCTCCTATACATTCTAGAAAAGAAACTTTCGTTACAACCAATTAAACGAAGAAACGTGAAGACTAAAATGTTACGAATAACTGCCAACCAAATATCGTGGTGTGCGAATGGAGCAGTATATCAATGCAATACCATCGAAAAACATTACAAAAACATTACAACGAATGTTAGAAAATGAACATTACAAAAGCTGAAATAAGTTCCTTCACTAAATATGTTTGGCATTTATTAATTCTGCACAATAATTGTGCGTTGAAAAATATTCTCACCAGTAAAAACATTTGATGCTCGATTTTCCCATCTTTGCCCTTGCAAAGGAACTGCAGAAACACTGGCACTTCATAACAACCTTTGCCAGGATGAAGAGCAGAAAATTTGATGCAGTGTTCAGCACCTGTTAACGAGAACTTCTTCGTCATTATCAATCTGACCATCGTCACTATGAGACCCACAGGACGAATAGAATTATTGCTGTTTTGGAGCCACTATAGGAAAGAGTGATAACCGGTGGTGGCACGGTGGCCAGAATGAGGAAGGGGAAATAAAATTGACTGTAGGAGACGAAAAAATCGCTTAGCGAAGGATTGGGTTTGTAGTGGGTATATGAGGTTTGATTGGGTTTGTGGGTAAATAGATCTAAGAATAAATTTCGTCTTTGATGATGAAAAGCGGAAAATTACTCATTGTTCAGGGTGCCACATCTTTTTGTCCGTCAAACTGTCAATTTGGATCTCTTGGGTCTTTCTCAACTAGCCATGGAGCCATGGAGCGGCCTATATGTGGCATCCCGATTTTTGTTGCTACACAGATTTGTGATTAAGAGAATATCAGTTAAATAACAAAGAAAAATACTGGTTGAAGGCAAAAGGCTGTTGAAGTTGTGTCCGCCGCACTTATATAGCCAATGTGGTAAATACTTCTTTCGAAATTACCTCACAAGATATTTATGGTCACTAGCTTAACTTAACTTGTCACTTATCTTGTTATCAGCCTTCGTTTTTCAACATTGGCACGCAATTCTCGGTTTTTATTCGTTCATAACTAAATTTTGATCTGAAAAATCTATGATAATGAGTCTGACCGAATAATTTTAGTGACTTGATTTGTTGAGAAATTACTGTAAATCAAATTCAAGTAGACAAAAATACACAACGTTCCATTCTTGATAAAAATAGAACAAAAACGTACAAAATTTCCCTTCATATTAACTTTTAATGTACAAACTTAGTGCAAATTATTGACTGTTGACGTGCACATATTCAGCAGATACAGAAATTTAATACAGAAATACAGAAATTTCGAACAGCGAGAACAGAAGGTGGTTAACGTTACTTAAGGTTCATTCCCGTGACGAAAATAAGCAGACTACAAGCATCTTCATTCCTTTGAGCTCAATAGGAAACTTACATTTTAACAATTTATAAATATTGAGGCCAATAATTTCAAATGGGTTTGAAAAAGTTCCAGGGTATCCAATAAGAACTGCATTGAGAGTAGTTAAATGGATTTTCAAAAAGAGGATGGTTTCTCTTTCCCATCGAAGAGAAAGAGAAACTAATTGAACTGAATATTTACGGCAACAGGTTAAACCAAACACTAAGTCAGTACCTTTTTTTAGTACTCTCGCATTCTGAGAAGAACAGAGTCCATGTTTGTCTTCCAAAATTATGTTGCTGCAGTCGTACAACTTTTCGAAGAGTTGAAGCGTCAGGTCACCATGATAGGTGTTTTTTATGTTGATCTTGACAGGTCCCGGAGGAGCTGCAAAAGAACATGTTAATAGGAAACTGCATTATAGCTTTAATTTGGTAATGGATTGTCGGGGCTTTCGTTCGATATCGTACGTGGTTCTTAGGCAGAAATTTTTGAATAAATCCCGCAGGCATGCCTAAATTTCATCAAAATTCGCAGTGTTTCATAGCTTTTTACTCAACGGCACTCGAAGACCGACTGCGCAGCGCCATGTCTGCTAGAGACTTAAGACGTGAACGGCCCAATCAGGGGCCATACTTTCAAAACTCGCTAAGTGAACGTAAGTATTTACGCTCTATTTTCTTATTTATGATTGGTGGATTTTGCTTGAAAGGCCGTCAATGATTGGCTGATGAACTTACGATCTCTGAACTTTTTTTGAAATTATAGGCCCAGGTTTGCAAGAACCAGCGCTAGCTAGATCGGCACTGGCTCCGGGTGCTTTCGCAAGATTTTCAGACTCTCGTGGCGAAACTTCATTCATGACTTAGAGTTTGTGATTGAAATATAATTGACATGCTTGCTAGAAGAAATTACATCTCCCCCCGGAATATTATGATACAAGTTAAGAATTGTTTCGAAAAAGTAAGTTTATTTGCTGGCTTCCACCACACCACCAGCTCACCGTCGCCGACTACAATAAGAATTTTTTCCGCAGTTTGCGCCGTCTCGGGTTCCACAGTGACTTTGATTGCTGTCTTCTGGCGCACCCACTCCTTTCTGGGAACAGAAGAAATAAATAACAAAAATATATATTTTTAGCGCATTTTCTCATTTGTGGAAAAAAAGGCTCCATTGTGCTCGTCATGTCCGTCTGTCTGTCCGTCCGTCCGTCTGTCTGTGACTTCACGTTTTCGTCGACGAGAAAATGCGCTCTCTATCACTCACTGCAGTGAGTACTGAGTTATATATTTTTAGATAATTACTATATTTAAATTACCCTCAAATATGGATATTGATTACTTTACTAGAGTGAAATACGAGCAGCGTTCAGATAATCTCTCTTTATTTCAGTTTCGGCTTTTTTAAAATGAATTCAAATTGAACTATTATGATAACAAACTAAAAATTTATTAGCAATGAATTTTCTCACTTGTATTTAGTGTAATTAGCCTGCATTTTTCGCTTCCTGTGTTGAAGTGACTGCTCGTGTTGCTCCTTAGCAATCATTGATACGAAATTCCATTCCTGTGTGAAAATAAAACTCATTAAATGTTACCTATGCTCAAAATTATGTACTTAAGTCTTCTTTCGTAAAAAAGTGATTTAAGCTTGTAACAAACTCATACCAAAATAAAATTAACTTCTAAACTGAAGTCCAGTTTGGAAAGACCTCGGAATTCGACAAGGTTTAAAATTTCACATCAAGGTAATATCCCGATACGATTGGTGTTGCCGATATGGGCAGGAAAGTCTTTATTTCTTTCCGAATATCATGTTCGAGGCGCTTCTACAATAAAAAAACACACTCACAAAAATTTCCACGTTGGCAAATAAATGTATAAATTCAATATGATTTACATAAAAATCTCCATAGATACTATTATTGGATTGAGTTGTTTAATTCACTATTAAAATACTGTAAATAACCCGTGTCTTCTCAAGAATTAATTCTTCTCACCCGGCATAATGCGCATTGAAGCTTGCTTCTCTCCTCCCGATTTGTGGAATTCCTGGATTGAAAAAATACATTTATAATTACACGAATTTCAATTATTTATCCTAATTCTGGAATGTTTTTTGAAATAATATTCTCTGCAAAGTTCGTGACGTCCAAGTTTCATGTCATCAGAATTAAGTCAACTGTACATTAAGCTAACTAAAATGAATATATTTTCTTCAGATGCGTATTGCAGATGATATTAAAGCTTTTCATAATTTTTATCCTAATAAGCTTTCATAGAGTAACCCCAGTATTACGGAGTTCATTACCTATCATTTGTAGTAAAATAAATTCACGTTGGGATATTAGCATTTTTTCGTTAAAAATTTTCAATAATTTTTTAATATGATCCTTCATTCGTGGATAATGTAATAACGCTGACTTTCCTCGCTACTACAACTAAAAGCTCAGGAAATACGGTTCGAGATCGAATTGATCCAATAAATTGTTTTAAGATCATTAAATTATCTGGCCAAAAGAACAGGCACTTAAGTGAATAGTGCCACTACGTCTAATTAAGTTATATAGTGCTTTCATTCAATATATCCACTTTATACATCTTCTCCTGAAACTCGATACTAGTGAATTTTTATTCACAGAACTGATTATTAACTTTTCCTCTAATGAGAACTTAACATAAACGAGAAATGAATTACTTGAATGATGGGCGAAAATTCATGATTACAAAAAGCTAGAAACAGATAAATAATTAACAACTATCTATAAGAATTCATGGGTTGGCCCTTTGAAGCACGATTCGTATAATAAACATACCTATACAAATGTTTGCACTTTTAGACATAGTCATCAATAGAGGGTTGCAAAAAATAATGAATCCACACAGGCTAAACCGGTTCATGAATATTGAATTCACACAGGCTAAACCGGGTAAACTCACATGATTGCTCGAAGCTTTACAAACACCCCAGTCGGCCTGTGAGGTATGCGTTGATAATTCTCTTGATGATAAGATGATGTTTCAACTTTAGCAAGATCGCTAGCGTTAGGCTGTGGGCACTGACACTGTTCGAATGCCAATGCTCAGCAAAGTCAATCGGCGCGCATCGCTATAGTGACCGCAGTCAAACAGGTCCCAGTCAATAATGCATCTAACTCCACAAATCAGACGTGATGGCTAGTCTATAATAAAGTAACGCATAAATTTTGTACTGTTCAAACTTTTTATCAATTCGCTACTTCAAACGAGAGTTTGAAACGTGAGTTTGAAGATTTTTACTCCCACCTTCCCTTCTTCTCTCTCTATATTGATTGATTTTAAGCATCAAATACAAATTATTGTCCCGTATAATTTCATGACGTCACAAAATATTAAATAGCAAAATGAAAAATAACAACCAAACCAGTACAATTGCATTTATTTGCAGTCAGTGAATAGAACACCAAAAAAACACCGAAAAGCATTTTTCCGCACAATTGAAAAATCAGGCTTAGCAGCACTGTTGCTAACAATTTTAGATGTAATGTAATATTTTTTGCCTCTCAGAATCCTTCAGTGGCTTTAGCATGAAAATTTTTTCTTCTCCATGAAAACGTCCCAGTCTATGTAAACAGCATCTCTTGCTTCTTCATTCTCTAGTGAATCTAAGGAAGACTGGATCACGAGGACATATTGGATACGATATTGGTTTAACCAACACGCCTGAAGCCAGTTGTCGTGAAGTTTCTATAGGGTAGTCTTCATATGTACATATTATTCGGTACCGTGGTGGATGCCAGTAAGTTACTGTGATCGAAAAGTATTGACTATCAGCAGAACTGGCTCGACTCTTGCAATGTTAACTGCTATTCTCATTCGCTGTAAGTATCCAGCAATTTACCGCTTTACGTGTGACATTTCATGTATTAATATATCCAGTTATTTCGTTCTTTGTATTTTCTATAGAAGTGTTATCTTGTTTCAGAATATTGCGTTCTTGTGGATTAAAGCTCTTTATGAGTCGCTTCGAATTTACACCAGTTCTGAAATCAACACCAGTTCTGAAATCAAAATTGAAGAAAATGAATCAATCATGATTGAAATTAACAGATTGTAAGGTAGGAACCTGGCCTCTAAACCAGAATTCTGTAAAACTAATGTAAGATTGTTTTAAACACTAATGATACACACAAGAAAAGGCCACAACTGGGGGATTGCTGTATGTAGTAGGAAATGTGTGGCAATAAGAAGAAGAGAGAAAAAGAAAAAATGTAGAAAAAAGTATAGCGGCTGATCTTGTTTAAGTTCCGGAAGATCTCCACCATCACTGTATGCACGCCGCCGGTGTTTGGATGTTACTGTTCTTGGTGGTCTGTCTTATCGGATGGCGAGCTTCAGAGTCGCATCGCTGTGGTGATTCCTTGACACGTACTGCAAGTTCATCAAGGTCACATATCAGGCAGAGAGAAAGGTTTCAAACCTGCTCTTTATCAAATACCGCCTAAACGAAGAATAGCCCAAACAATGGAAGCAAGAGGAACCAACGATCAAAGTTAGCATGAAGGATGAGTCCAGGATGAAGGACTGTCTGCAAGATCTAGCGATCATTAAGGAATATCAACCTTGTTTAAACGGTTACGTCGAAATGATGCTAATCATTCTCCCAAAGTAACAAAAAACTACGACGGAGGAGATTAGATACTCATCAGTTTTCGATATGATATGAGCTATCTATGGTGAAAGCTTATCTAAACTTTGCACTACCGGACATGCAACATAGTCTGCTTAATGTATAGACAGGAAAACAAAATTTAAATATAATAACATCGCTGTGGAGATGAAGTGCTAATGATAATGAAAGAAATTAGTAAAAGAATACAATAGAAAGAATGTTGAACTATTCGGAGTGCGGTACTAACTATAACTATACGTTACTTGTTGAACTATACGGAGTGCGTCTTGCTTTTTTTTATTTCTGTTATAGGGAAGTTCAAGGGTTGTGCTTTCAAAATTCGCTTGAATACACCTAACGGCCGATTTATCGTCGGTAATTGGTGGGTTTTACTGAAAAGACGTCGTTGATTGACTGACGGAGTTACGACTACGTAACGATTTTTAATGAAACGGCACCTAAATTTGCACTGGCTCACTTTTCAGCGGTCATTGCGGGGACGTTTGCAGTGCTGCCTGCTACCGAACCCATGCCCGGCTACGGGAGCGAAATCTAAGGCTTCTGAAGAGAATTCATGTATGCATGCAATGTTTCTGCAATATATTCATGAACTCAACCAAAAAAATTAATATTATAAAGGATGAGTCAGAATAACTTCCTTCGATCGGGAGGTTAAAAAAAGCTAAACTATCGCAGATTTCGGTAAAAAAAATATATATTCCCATCAGATAACCTCATCAGTAATCATGTTTACAAAATCCGCTTGGCAGCTGTAAAGTGAAAGCGATAGAATACAAATCTGGAATTCACGCAGTTTTATGGATTTTGCCTTTTAGGCAAATTATGCCTTAACAGCGAGCTTACGGTGCTCCGCATCCACTGCACGAACATGACTGCGGGTTGGAAAAAAAGCAGAAAACCCAAATTCTGAAATCAATCCCCTTTCAGCTACTTACCTCCGCCTCAATCTTTTTCTGTTATATTTTTTATAAATATTGTATATATTTATTTTTCATCCAGTTTTTGTGATGGATCCACCCTGCACATTTATACTACTTTCGTTGATTTTGTGAGTAGTTTCCCAAAAAATCAAATCAAAATTCAGTAAGATGTGCTAGGATATCTCACGTAATTTCATATATTGAGAAAAGGAAAATTTTCTCAAGACCACCAATGGTTAATATTCATATTTATTTGCATATCACGCTATTTGCTTCCAAATTCATTATTTACTTGTTTTTGCGTAAGGCTCATTTCCATATACTTTTTAGAGTAACTTACTTGAACCCTCGTTGCTTGAAGACAAATTAAATCTCGTTATAATGAAAATCTAATTGTATGAACGGTTAAGCGCACATTTGAATGTATGTGGCCAAAACATATTCATAAACTTTCAATTCTACTTTCGATCAGAGGCAATGCATAACGATGCATTTTCACCTGAAAACCTTTAATATCTTGATAGAATATGTAAACATTTGTACCAACGATAATACCTCGAACTGTTCAGGTTTGTATACATGCATTACCCTCTCTAAAACTACTAATAGTGCATGTCAAAGTTGCTGAATTAATTTTTAGGGACCACAGAGCCACTTGACACTATTGTTCTTGTTATCTTTCAACCTTTTTTCAATCAATGCCTTCAATCTTTTAAATTGGATACTGAACACCAACCTAGGATTTATCCGAAAAATTACGTTTTCTCATGTTTATTGAGGTGCCCGTGTTAGCTAGATTATATTATTTTAGTAGATAATTATCGGTAAATAATATATATATTGTAAATATTGATGACCCTACATCCGTCCTGTTATCTTATCGAAATTAATATATTTTTACAACATCTTGCTATAAACTTATAATCGTAATGTGATAACTCTGACCCGTTAGAACATCTGCAGCTCCTGGTTGTATGATTCAATTTGACTACGGTTTCTAATTCAAATTCTGGATGAAAAAAGCTTCATATGTTATATGTTATAAAAATACCATAATTCTCCATGAATTATTACCGTTAAAACCATCCAATAGAATTCTCATGAATATTCTTGCGTCAAGTTCTACCCCATTTATAATTCCTGTCATAAAGAAACGAATTATTCTTTCAAATCTTCGTTTGGATCGTGGTCTTCCAAATTTCTTAGACGAGCTGGGCATCAGTCGCGAGACAATAATTTATTCATAGATACAATTTAACGTGTATTGAAACTATGTAAACAAATTGTCTTGAAAGTGTATTTCTAGAAAAAATAAAACATTGCAAGCAATAAATAATTGTATTGTAATTATATTCATACATTTTAAACAATAACTAATTGAAAAGTAAATATAAATACGTATTGTAAAAAAATGATTGTAAATTAACTATAAATACATCTGGAAATAAATTAATACATAAATAAATAGTATATTGCAAATAAAATAAATCGTATTGGAAAAAATTTTACAATACAGTTTTATGGGTTGGATCGAAGTCGACAGGAAGTAATTCGGCTCTATTCAATGACTTGCATTATTGTTGTATGTTGGAACAGTCGCTAATTCCGGTTTTTCGACGTACTGCAAAAACGTAAACTGGCTTCCGACTTCAAACTAAATTTTGAAACTTCCCCCATATGACGAGAATAGGCTAGACTTTATTTTCTCTCTCCATTTCGAACAAATGTGGTCAGAAAATTATCTTCTTTCTTTGCAAAAGATGGGGAAATACGGGTTTAGCCCTGACTGCATGAATAAAATTAATAAAATTATTATATATTTAAATAAATAATTAAAAATATTTTTTAATAATAAATAAATAAATTTTTAATCATTTCTTAATAATTAATTATAAATAATTTTTTTAACAATAATTAAATAAAAAATTATGATATAATATAATTAAATAAAATTATATCCTGACATGTTTAACCCGTCTGCTTTTTTGTCTTTATTAGGTTGTAGAAGATATTGCATGCAGGTGACCATAGTTGTTAAAAGATTTGGAGTGAAGAATGAAAACTGGAACGTACTTAGGTGCACTGTTTCATTGGTGTAACGTCAGTGGACGACACTGGGCCCTTCTATTCACTTATTAGCTTACTTCTGGTTGGGACAATTAAATGGACCGCTTCCGTCTTGTGAGACCGAATCGACACTTCTTCGGACCCGCGTGCGAACTCGCCTGTGGACTCAAACGCAAAACCTAACCACACGCTCAACTTAACCACTCATAACTCCTTCAATAATGAACGGATTTACTTGAATTTTGGAATATGAGTATCTATTGTCAGTACACTGCGATAGGAATTATTACAGATTTTTATATTACTTTGTTTACAATTAAAACGAATAAACATATTTTTAAAGCAACTTAACCACTCATAAGTCCTTGACCAAATTTGTGGAATCTACGTAATTGGAAGAAGGTATCCATGTAGAGCCAGGCATGGTAGTCCCATCGTCGGTCATGTCACAGCTATCAGAATAATAAAGGGAACAATAGTGTTAGTAATAATAGTATTAGTTGTAGTAGTAATTTTGGTATAATTAGCAACAGTAAAGGATGTAAATGGAACAACCGCGCCTGCGCTAAAGTCTATATGGCTGATGCCAATTGAGAGTTCTGGGTGGGGGTGACCCAGAAATGATCAAGTGAATAATATAAAATAGGCAATTGCTAACTCAAGTGAAAACTTGGATAGTTAAATTTCATGTTATGCAACTAAAATGGTCTGAAAAATCTCATTTTCAGATAAATAATCACTTTGATCTACAGATTTTACATCAAAACACGACTAGTACGGCAAATAGTATCGACTGATGTAAGTGAGACAAAGGCGGCAAGGCCACAGTCCACAGATGATAGTGAGAGATGCGCTGATGAAATCTAGACTGTAGCAGGTGACAGTGAGAATAAGATTGCAGATGATGGTAGATAGAAGATGGCGGGTTAATTTTCGCAGTAATATGACGGATTCTAGTGAAGGTAAATGCTACTGCACTACTTCATATTCTGGTTACTTCATCTTAGAGAACAGCATCAAATGTGGTAAAAGAAAATGCAGTAAGAACTGAGAAAAGAACAGATTATTCCTTGGAAAGAAAAAGTAGAGCTACCCTTAAGGGTGGTTTAAAGAAATTGACAATTTCTAGTTGTTCACAAAAATAAATTGCGATTGGATACTCACGTATATGAAGCCGGTCAAATTTTTTCTCGATATTAGCGAGATCAGAATGACGGTCGTATGGGATGCCCGTGTAACAGCCCTCATTGCAGCAGAATTCGAGCAGTTTGCCCCAGTATCTGAAATAGAGAGAAATACGTCAGTGAACTTGAAAAGAGGAACAAAAAATGATCACATAATGTATTTTTTACTATTAAAAGTAGCTTCTCAACTTCGAGAAATAATAAAATTAATACTTCTGAAACCAGAACAACTTCCATCTAAAGCTTGCTTTACTACTGCTACAGAAAAAAAACTTGAGCTGCAGGACTGATATACTTTCCGTGTTAGGCTAAGGTTTAATTTACGCTATAGCGGCTTTCCGGCACCGAAGGACACAAAATAAGTATCACCAAATAGGTCATTGGTAGCTATCATTGTAGATTTCTCTAATTTAAAATATTTCAGCATTTCCAAGGTTCCGAGGGGCGTTAGTCAAAAATGCCCATAGAATACAAACCCCTTAAGTTATCTGAACAAGAGCTTCCTCGAATATCGTACAGGAGTCAGGAGAGCAACATCAAAAACAGAGACACTCGTACGAGATTTCATTCATACGATAAGGTGTCTTCCTTCTATAACTTTACCCACAACTGAGATCCCCAGTCAGACTCCACGAGTTGTGTGGTTTGGAGAATTTTTTGTTAAAGTCGATTTTCCTCAAAATCGTCTTTATAACGAAGCGTTTAACGTTTTATATTCATCGTCGTATGGAAGGTGATATGTGGAAAATTAAACCCTATATCTACGATTATGAGAGTTGCCGCAATTACAATGAGTAAATAACTACACGGAATTTCACTGTTTCGTGGTTACAGTAAAAGAAAAAAATCCCCCGTTGGAAGAAAATTCCATAATTTGTCAGAATTGAAACCAAAATAACTAAGTTTTCATTGGTAGAAATTATCTATTTCCTGTCGAACATGATTGGATCAACAATCATCAAAACATCCTTTCCTGAGTGCAAAAAGTGATCAATTTGTTGAATTCACATAAACCCAAACATATAGTTTGCAGATCATTAGATGAATAACAAAAGTGAAAAAGCCTCACTCACTTGTCATCTTCGAGCAGCCACGGGTACCCAATGACCACGAGGAGGGCTCGGGCGCGCGTGATGGCCACATTGAAGCGCTGCAACGAGATTTTGGCAATCAAGAGTTTGTAGACGATAAAGCTTGGGATCCAACAGACCAACACAAATTGTCGTCCTTGATGTAACGTGTGTTCTCAAGTCAATGTTGTGTTGGAACTTCTTAATAAAGAAATTTTCATTCCAACTTTCGCTTGTTAATATTGCCTATGTACCTGATCGTTATAGAATTTTAGTGTCATAAATTCTGCGACATGTAATTTGAAGCTATATCGCTGATATCGTCCAATATAACAGGTTCAAAAATATTTGTTAAATTGTAAAAAGGATATTTTGATTCCATTCGATGCTTGCCAGTGCACGAAACAAAATTTCATGAAGAAAGTAGTAATTATGTCAAGGGAAGAGAGGACAATAGGAACAAACTGGATGGGCACCATTTAAATCTTCGCTAATCGAAACTGTGAGCGATCCAAAAAAAATTTCAAGTCAGAATTGGTCAAGTATAAATGACAGTGAAAAAGTGAAACTACAAATTTGTAAAAAAAATCAAAATGTTTGCATCAAACACGTCAAAAGACATAAATCAGCTCGGAACTATGGACCTTGGGGTTGGAGAGAAAGCCTAACTTCGCTGAAATGTAGTCGTCGGTGATCAGTCGCTCAGGGTTGGCGCGTACAGTGGATACGATGACAACGAGGCGTTCGTCGCCTTGAAAGACTTCGGGTGTGCCAATGCGCAATTCATCTGTCACGCGTCCGAATTTCGATGAAAGAGCCTCACGAATCTGGAAAGCTTAAAGAATGTAGGAGCTTTTTCACGATTAAAAGCCTGTTTTGTTGGTTTAATACACGACAGTTGAAACTATTCAGCTTCGAACAGGGTGCTGTATAAATAAACGATGTTGACACCTCAATAGAAAGCTCAGACAGCATACTATATGTTTAACGTTACTCTATCACTATGATCATATCACAATAGGAAGCAAAGTCCGTAATTACTGATGATTTCTAAAAAAAGATAAGTCAATGGGTATTCTAGCGACAACTGTTTTTATGATAAAGTAAATCATCATAAAGTATAACGTGCCGTTTTTTCTCTACATTTTCCCGAAATCATTCAAACTTGAAGCCACTATTAATATGTAGGGACCACCGATATTCGTTATTCATTTTCTTGTTCATTTTTCCTAAAATAGTTAGCAGTCAGCCAACCATCCGAACTTCTAATAGATTGACTTTTTTTCTTCCTTAGTTCAGTTACCAGTCATTTCATTTCAGCCTTGCCCACCAACGTTTGGGGTTAGGCCTAAAGTAGCTCATGTTATAATCATATTATTTTTAATATTTTCTTGTATGATATTCTTCATTTAATAGTGTAATTTAAAACGTGTTATGCAATTAGTCTTATCAGAGTTTGCTTATTCAACAGGTACAAAATTTACCATACTTACAAATACACTGTTCATTACATCCGCTGGTTAATTACTGATAGGTTTCTCTGCTAGCATTTCCCTTAGCTTATAGCGGTACCGGTTAACCCGCTATAAATAAAATAAAAAGACCTAGTTATTTTCAACATGCCATTCATGAATACTCATTGCAAATAATCTTTTGTATTTTCACCCTACGAGAATGGAGCGTTAAACTTGGATCTCACCTTTTTCATTTGCTCTCGATAGGGAGTGACGATGCCAATATTTTTAGGTTCGATATTCATTTCGTGCATGAGTTGCTCCACGTACTCCACGACCTGAGCCATTTCAAACACATTGAAGAAGCTGGGGTTGTTTGCCTTTCTCTTTTCCCTCCCATTGACACCATGGAATATGATGGGTATTTTTGGGTTTGGCAGCTTGGCCCACTTCAACATCGAGTTTGTTATGCGATTATCACCTCGGGCTTTAAGTTGGTTTTCATAGAAGCACCTGTTGGGAATTTCAAGGAGGCTCTTATGTGAACGGAAGTTCTCCACGAGCTTAGTGATGTACAAAGGATTGAACTGGCCTCCTTTAGGCTTGTACATGTCAATAGTCATGAGGCGTCCCAAGAAACTTTGGTCCATACGGAACCCCTTGAACAATGAAATCTTACGGGGGTTCAAATTTGACACTACTGGCCCAAGCTGGTAAGGATCACCGGCCAGAATAACCATCTTGGGCAAAGCTAACAAAGGTATAAGTGCTTCAGGCTCCGTCGTGTAGCCACTCTCGTCCAGAAACACGTAGGTAAAGCCGCATTCGTTGTTCTTCTCTCGTGTCAGGGGCATGACGTAATACGCCGTTGAGTAGGTGGTGATGACGATGTTGTACGAGCGTACCATGTCCATGCTTGGTATTAAACTGAAATTGCCCTCATGAGAGCTTACATTCCAAACATTTTTAGCGATCCCAGCACGAGAACGAGATAAAGCGTTCACTCTTAGTATTTTGGAGGCAGGAATGTGTTTTAGAAGTCCTTCGGTGAGTATATCACAACTGGCGTTGGAAGGACCACACACTAGAATGTTGTCATCTTTGTTTCGCGTGTAGACTTGTTTGATGGCTTCGACCATCGTTGACGTTTTGCCGGTGCCTGGAGGGCCGAAAATGATGTATGGAGCGGGAGCGCTCACTCGATTCACGATTGCCTCCACCGCCTGCCTCTGCCTTCGGTTCTTTCCCACGTTTTTATCGAAGTAGTTGTCAACACTAACGAGATTGGCTTCATCGAACCTGTCGTCAGAGATGCAATATGAAAGATTCATGCAAGTTGTGTTGCAGAATAATGCTACTAAATTATTCTGGGTGCATTTATACTGATAAAAACATTAAGCGGGTATATTTACCATTCTAATAACGGTGAGAGAAAACTTCGGCAAAGCTTAAAGTCATTCTAAAATAAATTGAAATAGGAAATGAGATACAAGAAAATTGAATCTTTAACCTGAATATAAAATTATTTGCTCGAAAACTTACCTTGTACTGTGCTTTGGAAACAGAATTGGAAGTACTTTCTGGTAGTGTTTTAGCACTTTATGGCAACGAATGAAGATGCTCCTACAAAACCAGAACTGAACGTTCACTTTCATGCCTGCCGAGTACTTGAGAAAGAACTCTTCACCGAAACCCAGATGAAGTGTTTCGTTTATCACATCATGAACAATTCCTTCGTAAGGCCAAGATGGCTGCTGATCACTAGGCAGTCTCACGAAGACCGAGTCTCCTGCTAGGATTGCTGGATGCTTTTCTGCCACCCCAGGCACATGCAGAGTAGCCATGCGCTCGCCATGCTCGCCCTCGTTCACTTCGATATCAACGCCATCCAGATGGTAATACTGGAGATTGATTTCCCTTTCAATTTCTTCAATCCATAGCTGCAGCTCAAACCATCTGCCATAGTTGTTATGCGTGAGGCCTTGTTTCCCGATGTCCTCGAGATTTTGCAACGAGGCTTTGAGCGAGTTCTCCGATGCAAATTCTGGATTAAAATTTTCTACCACCAGTTTACGAAGATAATCAGGGTAGCGAAACAGGTATTTGAAATTCGCGGAAGGCTCACGACCTTCTATTTCTCTCCCAGGCGAATAATGAGGTGGTGTGGGTACAGAAGGGGCTTTCCGTCTTCTCTCGATCTAAAGAATTGTTCAACATCAAATCAACGATATAAATCTGCTACATGTTATATATATTAACTGCATTCATCAGCAAAAGGGCAAGAAATAACTTTACTTTAAGTATAGAATTCTACTAAGAATTAGAAATGCAATCCAGATACTCGAATAAACAATCAATCCTCTGTAGAAATCTATGAATAGGCGATCTTTTAATCCTGATCCATATTTTACGTTGCAAAGTTAATTTAACATCTCAACAAATAAAGAAGTTTTCTAATTTCTAGAAGGAGTTTAAATTTATTCAATTTGCGCATTTCATTATTCTGGCTTACAGGCTTAAAGACTATGTCGATGGGCCAAACACAATTATCCTATATGGAAACGAAGTGGGAAAGGTTTAAGTAAAAGTAACGGTGGTAGTGCATACGTCAGTAATGTTATGATTGTCATTTAGTGACCGGAGAAGAGTTACGTAACAGCGCTGAACTTCTAGCCTGATTAGGTTTTTATCAGAAACACACCTTCGACTCCTCGTCGTTTTTGAATGCTTCGGCAGAAATTTCAGGGACGTCTTCAGGCAGGTAGTCGATGCACTGTGAGACAAATAATTTCTAATCCACATATAAAAGTCTAACAGTTCAGAGTGAAGCTGCGAGCAAAATATCAACAAAACACCAACTTGCAAAACTCACGTTGCATTCTTCGATTAGATGCATATTTTTTGTCATATTGTTTAACTATTGTCCATTGACACTAGGTTGTTTTCCCCAGCCTCAGATATTATTCAAATTCAGCTAAATAAAATTTTTAATCTTCATCTAGTTGATAATCAAAGCTTTGATAGTATGACAGATTTATGCCATTACAAAATGTGTTCCATTTGTGAAGGAATGGTGTGCAATGGTTGTTTTCGAGAATGCCCAGTTACCCATCAATTAATCAATCGATTAATTAACTAACACTCTCATATAGGTTAATCAGGTGCAGCGGTTTTGTGTCAAACAATAAAACGTTCTCCTCGCCCTCTTTCGCTCCCAGAATATTGCATTACAGTTATCATTTGCAGTACAATAAAACAGCTTCTAATTTTAAGTTGAAGTGGCTCGCGAGTATTCAGTGTGAATTCAAAAGTTGGCTGAAAGCAAACGTCTATTGTTTTCATCGGTAACCGTCAACCCGAGTATACACTGGTTAGGTAGCAATCTGATGCGGATGCGCAATTGTGTAGTAGATAAGAAAGTTGTCAAATATGCTACACTAGAATAACCTCGTCATAATTTTTTTTAAACTAGCTACTATACTGGCCATTTAATTCGATCCTTCAAAATATATAATTACTTCTGTTATGACTCTACTGTGTCGTCATATGTTTTGGTAAATCTCCAAGTACTCGTCGAGTTTGGTGTTTGGCGATTGGTATTGCTGTTAAATTCGTTAAACATTTTTTTCCTACATAATTATCTGTACTGAGTCTCTAGTGCTATCCAATAATAGTTCCAAACATGAAATATTCAAGGATAACCCGAGTTATCCCTGAACACTTGCTTTGTACATCGGACTGTCAGAATATTTCTGAATAAAAAATAAACTAAAAATAGCGGGAAACTTTTGCAACGTCATGATTAAACTGCAAGAAATGTATAGGTTAGATTGATCGAGTTCGTGAATAAAATAGGTCACTGGTCACTGATGATTTAAGACGTTCATGAATACCTTGAATAATTTGCTCTCACCAGCAAAAACATCTGATGTTCAATCTTCCTCTCTTTGCCTCTGCACACGAACTGCAGGAATACAGGCACTTCATAACAGCCTTTGCCAGGATAGAGGGCAGAAAATTTTATGCTGTATGCAGCCCCTGATGGTAAAAATTTTCGGTCAAGGCAAACTCACAAATCGTCAATTTTCGACAAACTGTACAAATAAAACTGGGAATGACACTTGTAATCTTGTCAGTGATGAGATATATTTTCGGGAATTCTTGATCAAGCGTCATCCTCTCTCCTTGCCTTGCATTTGGATCTAACTTGATCATATTCTATGAAACTGAAATTGGCATTCATGGAACAAAAACCATTACAAAAAAAAAATGAATTAAATAAGCTGCAGAAAATTTTTGCGGTTGAGGTGGACGACTCATTTTAAATTTTCGCCCAAAAAAAATCATTGAATGTGAACATTGATTTTTACTCCTCAAATATGTTAGGAAATTTAGGTGCTAAGACGTGTCACAGGCTGCAGTTATCACCGTCAAATGAGCTTGAATTAATTCAGTGGAGTATGATTGATCATCCATTAAAAATTCTATTGATCACCGAACTAAACATGCGGTTAAATCGCCATGCAAAAAGCAAATGTAAACGGTATAGCATATATAATTATTTTACTTCCAAACATGAATTTATTGTACCAGCACCAGTAAATGTGATATCACATTGAATAGGATTTGTTGTGAGAAATTAACAAAAAACTCGATTATTTACCTGGTTCGAGTTCGATTTCCGCCTCGGCTGAACAAAATTTATTTTTGTCTCTTAGAATTATATTGTCGCATTCATACAGTTTTTCGAAGAGCAGAAGTGTCAGGTTGCCACGAGTGATGTTTTGGATTTTGATGTTGAAAAGAGTCGGATGCTCTGCAGTTGAAAACGATTAAATTCATATGTGGCATAATTCAACACATTGAATCCAACGAAAACATGTGTAATACACGGAAACAGCACATACATGGGATATTTTGAGTAGCGGAGTATTGCTTATTTGTTATTACAAATCTCAATGAAATAAAACCGACAGCGAAAAATGTAAAAAGTTAATACTAATTAATCAAAATTTCAGGAAAAAATAGGTCTTCAATTTTTTCAGTGATAAAACTATAAATTTTAGCTCCTGTTTTTTTTGTGAATTGGCGAGCACCAAATAAATATTAATGAACAATATATGAAGTGACCGCATCTGCCGCGAGAATGAAATACCTGAATTAAAATGTAAACCTTCAGAGAATAGTTCGAAACATTTGCTGAATAGTTGATTTGCAAGGAAATTGATTTAACCTAGGATGGTAATTCAAAGTCAAACAATTAACTACGCAAGTCACTATGTAAAGGCTAGTTATAAAACAGTACCTATAACGCAGAGGTTATGGCTCGATGATGGATGGATACCCATAAGATACAGGTTCGATTAAATGAAGTGTCTGAATAAATTAATTCGATGAAAAAAAGTCGATTCGCCGTGTTTTTCATCAGTTTTTATTCTGAGACGATTTAGCAATAAATTTTACATCAGTATCGAATCTTGATAACAATAAGGTATGTTTCATGCATATATCCATTGCAGGGTTCAGCGTTATCGAGGTTATTGTGGTTTGGATTACCCTTTAAATCAAGCACCAGCTATCGTGATAATGCATCTAAATGTTGATGACTAATGCATGTGGCATGAGGAAAACTTACTACAAATATCACTGTTTCACTCGTACCAAAATGCATACTATTTAATTGCATATTACTTTTCTATTGTAATATATAGTATTCTCGATGTAGTTTCACGAAATCAAGAGAAATTTTAAGTCCATCCTATAGACATGATTCCAAAGTCAAGGTTATCATTATTTTAACAAAAGCAAGAATTGACAACCCAATTACCTCCCAAGAGCCCCCCACTCACCATCTTTGACAACGATGGTGATTTTCTCGTCGGTGTGAGCAGACGGTGGATTCACCGTGACTCTAATTGGGGGCTTCTTGCTCATCCAGGACTTTCTGGCAATATAAACGATGCATAAAAAACATCAAATGATGAGAAACTATAAATTAATTCCAACAGTGCCTTAAATTTCTATCTTCAACAAATAATAATTGCTCTATTGTGATGCCGAGCAATCAAACTTGACATGTTCAACAGCACAACAGGCATGTCCTGTTCAACAGCACAAGTACGTCATGTTCAACAAGATAGCAAGAATGTCATATCCAACAGCGTAAGAAGCTTTTTATACTCAACAGCGCATCAAGCATATATCAGGTTCACGAGAATGACTTCCCTCAAAAGTTTCGCTTTTTCTTGTGACTCTTGTCTCACCATATCCCGTTAATAACTTCATACTTAAGCAAATTTAGCTATACAAACAGACCTAAATTTGAACGCTCGCTTAATAAAGAACTCCGATTGGCTCACGATTTTAAATCAAGTGGAAATTTATAATTTTTTTCAATAGTCATTCCCGCTTTTCAATACTTCACGATTTCACCACAAAAAAAAAAATAAGATTTCATTTACCGCTAATGTAGCGATTTTTTGTGATATAAATGACTATTATCATGACGAAAACGTGACCTGTTATCAGAGAATTTCCTCACCTATGTTTTGTATAATAAGTCTGCATTATCAGCTTCTTCTGCTGATAAGGCAAATCCACCGAGTCCAAGTCCTGTTCACATGCAAAAAAATTTATTGTATTACTTTAGCAATTAAAATGATTGATTTATTGTCCTTAAACTTAATTATGGTTCATTCAGAGTATTCCAAATTGAATATCCAAAAACTGCTGATTTAGAAAAAAGAAGTTTCATAGGTCAGAATTCAAATGGTCGTCATAATTTGAATATTTGAATGTCTGTCGGTTAGATAAAACGTTTTCATTGACGATTAACTAAACGGGGCGTGTTAGGATTAATATACAAAAAAGGCGATCTTTTTGTAAATAAATGTCAGCAACAGGCAATCAAAACCATTTTATCCAAAATCGAACAGCCAAAAATGCATTTAGATTCCAAATACGAGTAAAAAAAAAAAACTTACGATTTTATGAGCAGACAATCCCAATTTGTCAAGTAAAGTTTTTTTCCAGTTGGTTTCTGGATTTTTTCGACCCTCCTCCATTGTGAAATATATGGATTAACCTGGAGCAACGAAAGAAATAAATACGCCCTAAACCTGCTTTGAGAATCATATATTGGAAAACCATTTACAACCCAACGACAATATTATTGCACAATACATTCTACGGTCGCATTTAACATAACATAACATAATAATGTCGGCGCTGAGTAATGTGCCTGGTGTGGCCTGTTGCCGATTCTTGTACTTTTCGTGACTTGTTCACAGGAGATCTAAAAACAGGTCTTATGACCGGATTTTTTAAAAACTGACGATAGTTTGAAATAGCTACTGGACTTCTACCAGGTCCATAGGGTGCTAGGCATTTCAAGTCTGAACTCATTCATAACTTTTTCTAGCTCGTTAATGAACGCAAATACGAACCAGTTATACTTAAATTTTCTAGGAATGCTTCTATTCCATGGTACAAGTTAGTCATGTGAGATATCATTGCAGTACATGTGATTTTGAGTGGCATATCACGAAACTTTTGACAGATGGACCGATATAGGGTTAGCTATATTATTGCAACGTATATCACTACTTGGTAAGAGTGCATGGAATATTGAAAATTTACAGTGCATTAAGAATGTAGATTACTCAGCATGCATACTTTTAAGTTTGTGCTTAGTAACTCACTCAGCTAATTACAGTGTAACAGGGACAAATAACATATACAAAAACTATTAATACAATGAATAATAAATAACACTAAATTTCTGCCACACAAAAAATGGCACTAACAGCTTGAATAACAAGAAGTTGTTTTGGTTTCGAAATACCGCGACCACCAAGCTGTAAGCGCCACCAGTGTTTGGTTGCAAATGCTCCACACTGCCCGCCTTATCGGATGGTGATCGCTGCAACATAATCTTACCACACTCAATCAGGGATTCATATTTAGCAATATCAGGAAATGCCATTATTCCACAGCCGCAGTAAATTCCGTGCTAGATCATTCCAGATCTGTAGAAGTAGCGTACGAGTGCCTGTACAATGTACATACATACGCGAAAACGAACCCGCAAAATGAGATCATGATCGATGAAGCTCTTGGTAAGAGGGTAAGCTCGTGGTAAGGTGAAATGAACTCACCCCAATGGAAATAACAACCACATAATGTCCTTATTATTCCCACGAGACAAAACCTGACGGCCAAGAACTTTAAATAGTCATCAGCACCGATATGATAGCGTTATCAATGGTCGATAATTTTGCATAACGTGGCAGTCTAGTCTGTCAACATTGGCAAAAGAGTTGGAAATAAAAATATTAATGTAGGCGACAAGTTATCAAAAAGGTAAAAAACGCCAGATCTACATTTATAACTTATAATTTTAATCTGAAATAAACATTTTTCGTTTCACATTTCACTTCAGAATCTTATTATAGTCTCTCAATCAATTATAGTCAATGTGAAAAAAGCTAGTAGGGACTTTAAAGGACCTACTTTTCGTTCGGAGCAAATATGGCTGATAAGATGATCACTCAAGGAAAAAGTCAAGCTTGCTTGGCAGCTTATAAGCACATCGAGTCATGAATTGAGTCGATGCGCAACGGAAGGAGCTGATGGAAGTGAAAGCTAGCTGATAGGTGCAGAAATATAAAAACAATACAAGTATCTTCGGCATTGAAGAATAGGCCTGCCGCCGATTCTTGTACTTTCCTTGAGTAGACTGGCCTTTTGATGAAATCTTTTCTCAACAGACGGTAGATTTAAAATCGCTTCTAGATTTCAGTTGTTCCGTAGGAATGTAGGATACGAGGCATTTTAAGACTAAACATATGCTCCTGCATGGCCTTGTCTAGTCTGTTCCTGAACGCGTTCATACTCGGAGCGTCAACAATATCTTCAGGGAGGCTGTTCCACATGTCAGTGACTCAAAGCGAGAAGGAATGTTGTCGCGTGGATTAGTTGCACCGCAGTTTTTTTAGTTTATAGCTGTGGCAACTGGTGTTGGTTCTTGTTTCAAATTCTAGTAATCCTTCAGGGACCTTGTACAAACCGTGAGTATACTTGTATACTTCGATGAGGTCACCACACAGGCGACGATAACGGCCGGCCGGAGACTGGGAAGCTTCATAATCTTCAATCTTTCTTCAGACCCTAATATTCTAGATCTTGTGCTTACTAGTGAAGAATCAATGATAGATGAGCTTCGCCACGAGGCTCCGTTGGGCAAAAGCCACCACCAATCATTGTTTTTCAATATTAAGTGTTGTGAGATGCAGAAAAGACGCTTCGGAAGCGTGAACGTTTGAACTTTGCGAAAGGCGACTATGTTACACTCCGTGAAACGGTGAATGCGGCGAATATTTCGGACTGTATTAAGGACATGAATGTGGCTGATTCATGGTCGTTTCTCAAAGACACGGTTATGTCTGCAGTTGATGCTTGTGTACCCAAGATTACGCTTGGAGGAGTCAAAAAGTCCCAGTGGATGAACAGTGCAGTTAAGACTCCGCTAAAGACCAAGAAAGAAGCCTACTAGCGTTATTTACGATCTGGCAGCGAGTCTGATTATAACCTGTATGCCAGAGCTCGAAATCAAGCTAAAAAAAGTTTGTCGCACTGCAGTGAAAAACTTCGAAAAAAATATTGCTAAAAATGCCAAAAANTATGGAAAAATATATGTTCAGATTTGAAATGCCTAGCTCCTTATCGAACCCGGTGGAAGTCTAGTAGCTACTTCAAACTATCGTCAGTCATGAAAAGATCCGGTCAAATGACACGAGTGTAGATCTATGAACAAGGCACGAATAGGAACAGATTCGGCGACAGGCCACATCAAGCCTACACCTCAGCGCCGACATCACTATGTTATGTTATGTTATAAGACTTGCCCTATAAGCCTGGAATTATCCGTGTTGCACGTCTTTGAACACTCTCAACTAAATTTTTGTCCTTTTCAAGTGTCGGTGACCACACAAAATTTCCAAACTCTAGGATCGGGGGCACGACAGAGGTGAACAACAGCTTCATAATTTCTATGTCTAGGTACTCATAGGAGCGTCTGATCAGCCCAAGCAGCTTATTGGATTTATTAACTTGCGTTTCAATATGACAAGTTTTTTTTTAGCTCCTTGTCGACACAAACTCCAAGATCTTTTTCCAAGCAAGACTTCTCATTCAAAACCTTCTCGTTGCAACCGTGTCTCCTCATGCTGTAAGCTTGCTGTTCATTGTTCTTGCCGAGGTGAAGTACTTTACACTTGTCAGCATTGAAACGCAGCTGCCACGCATCAGCCCAGTCAACTAAACTATCAAGATCATTTTGCAGTTGCATTTTATTTGACGCTTTTGACGTATTATGAACTTTTGTGTCATCGGCATTCATGGAGCGCACGCTTGGCACTACTTCTGGTAGATCGTTTATAAAAGCGACAAACAAAACCGGCCCAAGAACGCTTCCATGCGGTACGCCACTGGGCACAGTTACCCAGTCTGATACGCTTCCATTAATGCTGTCACGTTGTCTTCTGCCTACTAGGAAATTCCTGATCCAATAGAGTACATTTCCCTCTATTCCCAAAGAATTCACTTTGCGTAACAGTCGCTCATGCGGAACACCATCAAATGGCTTGGCAAAATCGAAGTACAGTGCATCCACTGGCACCCTTTCGTCCAGCAGGCGAGTCCAATTATTCAAGGTAGACAGGAGATTAGTGGTGCATGATCTGCCAGCAATAAAGCCATGCTGACAGTCTGATAGAAGATGGTTAACAGTCAAGTGATCGATAATCCTATCCCTCATAACCGATTCCATCACCTTACACATAACACTTGTGAGACTTACAGGACGGTAGTTACCGAGGTTACTTCTGTCACCTTTTTCGAACAGGGGTGTCACTTGGGCTTCTTTCCAGTCGGCCGGCAAAGTCCGTTCGATTAAGGTTTTTCGAAAGAATATTGTTAAAAGGCCGGCCAGGACGGTTGCTAATTCGTTGAGTAATCTATTGTGGAAACCGTCTGATCCAGATGACTTGTTGGGATTCAGGGAGACCAGGCGCTTGAGAACATCCTCTTCGTGTATCTCAAAACTAGTTAACTTCGAGCCCACTGGTAATACATAACACAAAAGTCGACGGCAATACAGGTTTTATGGCGGCACTCACTTATATCTGAATTCACGAGTAAATGTCCTCGCTCTAGACTGAGAGAACAGAGAAAGAGAGTTCTGTTAGACTGCCATTGCGACGAATGATGAAGCATGCAGTGATTGATGATTATGTGTTTTTTGCCTACAGCTATAGTTTGGCTCAAAGCGTTTCGTTTGACATCGCATTGCATGTGTAAGTTACGCTCGAAGGATGACGGCACCATCGGTTGACCTACTGCATAGTGCAGTGCATTATTGGTGAGGTGCTGTGAAGCTATGAAGGATCATGCACAAATATTTTGCTATGAGACAAACCTCTAGCTTCATGCTACCGGGGCGAGGAACAAACTAAAGTTTGAACAGTGCAAACTAAACAAACAGTATGGGAAACAAACTAAAGTATGAACTAAACAGGAATAAACTTAAGTATGAATAGTGCATTCAAGAACATACTGGACGTAGTTGTCCACTGCTTCGCTAAAAATATATCTCCAAACTACTTGCTTAGTAGAATTTAAGTAGCACTCATTTAGAGTGCTACTTTAAATTACTCATTTTAGAGTGCAGGGTGGCCCAGTGGTTAAAGTTCAGAGTACCAAGATTGGCGCAGAGAGGCGCGGGTTCGATCCCAGCTCTGTGTGCCAGTTTCTGGTCAGAATCGGCAAGGAGGCCGGGCGGTTAAGCATAGCAGAATTGTAGCAGTGAGTTGCGAGTTCGAGACCGCAAAATGCTGCGAATGTTCTGCGATGTTAAGAATCGGCGACAGGCCTACGGCCTAATAACGCTGAAACCGCTATATTATTATATTATGAGTGTTGCGGAAGAATAATGATTTGCGAAGGAATATTATCTACGATATAGAGCTCCAAACTTCTGAGTTGTTAAAAACTCGGGACATATGTAATGTTGCCATTTCTTATCGTGAAATTTTGAAAAATAATATCTGACTGGAATTTATATTAACATAAAAGTAATAATTGAAATTAATATTTCAATTTTTATCCGCTGTGGTGGACATTCTTACGGCGAGCTCCTCCTACCAACCTACCGGCCAAAGCGGCCATCGTCAGTGTGTCTCGAACAGTGGCTTGAGGTGTGTTGACAGTGTGGGCTGTGTGGCCAGTTGGCCACAGCTTTCTATGTAGACCTGTGTCTGAGCCTATGTACTTTGAACAATGCCAATGAACGCTACATAGCCTACCTTTATTTGTCCCAAACTTGGAATGCGTGTTTAGGTTCTCGATTCCATACATTACGGCTGAGTGAACACTTCTAAATATTATGTACAACTTTACAAGAATGAGCAAAATATCTAGTCTAACCTAGAGTGGAATATGTTCAATAACATGCCCAATTATTTTTTTTCTATATTTTCTAGCCAGTAACCAGTATAGTCGAAGTGTAAACTATAATATAAAACAATTGTTAGTGACTGTTAATGTTGTTAATGCAAGATTCAAAATTTATTGAAAATTTCTCTATTTTGATTTTAGATTTCAATTTTAACACAAACTGTGGTGAGCAGAAAAGTTGAAATATTGCATCAGTATGATCAGTAATCATCATCAGTTCAGTTAACTTCAGTTGCATGTTTAAAGGTATAGGGTAAACGCGGTATATTCCGACATGCGACATCGTAGGTAATTCTGTCACCTCTCTAGTTTTTCCTTTATATTAAGCTTTGTTTTAGTTCCATGCATTCGTTGATGGACGAAATGGTGATGTCATACATTTGCGCGACAAACTACTGCCAAAACACTAGGTCACCCCGTCTTGGCCATCTAGCGGGAAAATATTGAGATCCAAATTCCAAAGAGAGACAATGCACGCTACCCACTACCCAGTGAGATCATCGAAAAATGTGTCAAATTTGACAGTTGACCTTGCTCTACCAAATAGTGAATAACTGTTTCTGTTTGTATAGGAACTTCATTAGGAAGAATATTATGGTTTGAGACTTTTAAATACGTCTGTGAATATATTAGGAATCCTTTAAGCAGGATGGAATTCTAATTTTGAAGGTTCATATATTATTTCGATCCACCAAGGCCACTTTTTCTATCCAACATTGTTATTTGAGGCAAAAAATGAACTTCTTATTCTTAAAGGCATAAAATACATAGGCTAACTTGCTCAGTTTCTATAAAGTACCCAACCACTTGGAAGTTTTATGCCTGCACCTTTCACTCAACAATTAAACTTAGACTTATATAAAGTATTAGTTAGTTAAAAGTTTGTCTCTTAAGTTGACCGCAATGAACTAAACTTCATTATGTAATCATTAGGCAGGGATNCACTGCAGTGGAAGGTGAGGTGGTGTAACGTGGTGGTAGGGTTGATTTTTCGATACGTTTTCATATATTAACATGAGAATATATTAACTATACAGAATTCCACACTGCCTTTAAGTATACTTGTATTAGCTGATTTTAAGTGGTAAATAAATTAATAGATGATTAAGTTAAGAAATGGATTTAGACACATGAAAACTAATTCTGTCACAACTTGAATTGGACACACACAGATCATTCCAAGCTGTGTACAAAAATTAAAATTTGCTTAATTAAAAGCTTAATAGTTGTTAATTTAAATCGTAATTAAGTAGTGTTCAATATTCATATTTCATTAGTGTTCTAATTCAAAGCCGTGTTGTATTCCAAATCCAATAGAGCTCACACAGCGCATGGAATTTAAACACGTGGATGACGGCATTACGTATCAGTAGAATTTGAAGCATGGACGGAATACGCCTCACCACGTGCCAAATATTGCCACACACAGTGTCGGAATATAGGGATTTGGTAGGTTTGCATTCTAAAAGCTTTTAAATAAATATGGCAACATTTTGTGACGTTTCATCATTGCTGGCGCATAGTACGGTGTTTTGCAAGTCACGTAAAGCCAACAGAACTCGAGTAATACATACGGTTATTTTTTTATAGTTTTTCATTTCTTGATTCGTCCTTAATGTGTCGGAATATACCGCGTTTACCCTACATTTTATCTGATCAAGTTCAACTATCGAGTGTAAGGTTATATTCACAAGGCTACACAAGCCAAACAAACTTTCCACATGCAAGTTATGGAAAGATAGGGTTCCAAAGGCTGGCTTCCCTTGCCCTTGGGAATCAAGTCACGAAAAATTTAAGAATCGGCAACAGGCCTGGGCCTATTTCTTCAATGCTAATTGCAGACACAGTTGACACTTCTATTCTATTCTAACAGATTAAAAAATTTAGCTCTAGTGTCCAATCCAGGATTGGAACTTTTCGCAGCTACAATGTGACAAATTTTTAATACAATTGGAAATTGGAATCTTGCCACCCGATCGTACACTTTGGTTAACAACTTAACAATTAGGTAGGAGATAATTCATCATCATCTGCAACTTCTAGTTGCAGCCTTAAAGGTAGATGTTTTCTATGCTTGCTCCAATCCAGGATTGGAATTTATCTACATCAGACTAGATGTTTCTGAAATCTCGCAGCTCCGGCATGATAAATTTTTAATACATTTGAATATTGCAGCCCGATCATTGGATTGTGCACTATTGTTAACAATTAGATAGGAGGTAATTCATCTAGCAGGAATCTCATGGTTCCGGAAGTGGCGGGGAAGCAGAAAGCTCTAGTAGCGGCCCTAAAGGCAAAAGGAAGATGTTTCCCTCACTTGCTCCAATCCAAATCCAATATTGTAATTTTCTGGGATGGGTATCCTGATGAATAGATGAAATGATCATTACATATGTATATGTATATTACATTATAATAATCATCATACATATGTAGCATATATGGTAGTCTATGTTAATAACTTAGTAATATAACTTCTTATTCCTTGAAGTTTAAGAGCTGTTAGTTTTGTGATTTCTCAAGTGCAGAAAATATTATTGGTCAAGTTGTGGAAATTTTGCCTGCTTAGATGAACTACACCATCAGCTGCTGAGATGATACTCAATGAGCAGGATTCTGCAGTGATACTAGGTGGTATTTATCTGATATTTAAGCTTAACTTGTCAAGATCATTAATTTTTCATGTGCATACTTTGTTCCTTTCCAGGGATGAGTAAAGGCTTCATGTATATTAATACCTATATATATATTTAATAATTAATTAGAGATCAACACAACTTGACAGAGATCTGTTTCAGATTATCTTTATCGGTTGTTTAAAATTTTCTAATAATGTCCTCATATCTCAAATTACTATCAAAGTGGGATTGCCATGCATGCTTTTTCAAAAAGGTGAGTTAGCCACAATATGTTAACTTATTTTCATATAAAATATACTGTAATATTTAATTAATGAATATGAAAGTTGTTTCTTTTTCAAAAACTTGTAAATGTCCATTGCAACAAAAAGTCAGTGAATACCTGAACTAGGTATATTTGTGTACAGATTATAAAAATATAGTGTAAATTCTTATTTGAGAAACCGACAATTTATGTCTTCGAAATTTTTTGTATTAAAATAAGCTGCAAAACTTTCCCCCAAGCTGCAAAATCTATCCTATTTATTTCGACACATTTGTGTTTGGAGCATTAGTTCATGCGGAAAGGCATTTATATATACTTGAAGACTTTATATAATCTTTAAGCCTGTAGCAGCAATGTTTTAAGCACTCAACAAGTTCTTCAAATATGACAATTGCCATGACATTAAAATCCCAGCTGTATGTCACAAACCTAAGGCATGAGTGCTTAGAGACAGTCACAAATAATATATTAAGATGTTTAAAAATCCTGGAATGAACTTCAGGGAATTTTTTAAGCTGTTCAGAAATTGTTTTCTGTGACATTCGCTCCACCCTCCAAAGTTGTAGCCTAAGACCATTCGGGACCATGTTGAAGAATATATGTATATTTATGTAAGAATGAGGGATGTGTCAAGCAAGCTCTCTGGGTCACCGTTACTTTCCGGTGTGGTGGTAGTCAGATTAGCATCCACAACTGCGATATATTCTTCATAAGAGAATCCATTAAGCTCATGAATGTTCTGATCATGAGGGGCTGGAGATTCTTACAGTTTGTACACTGGAATGCATTATTACGAGCAGCCATTACCATAAGATGCATTATTACGAGCAGCCATTACCATAAGATGCATTATTACGAACAGCCATTACCATAAGATGCATTATTACGAACAGCCATTACCATAAGATGCATTATTACGAACAGCCATTACCATAAGATGCATTATTACGAGCAGCCATGTTGCATTGAGATTTAATTTCTTTTGATAGTATTTTTGAATACTATGAGTCTCTATACATAATTTAAATCACTTTTCCTGTTAAGTTTGTGTACACACATACATTAAATTACGATTTTTCAAGTGTACGAATCTTTATTTCCCCCCACTGTATATTCAAGCGCCCATTATCCATAGTTGCATTCATAAATCACTTATTACAATCACACGTATCATACGAGCATACTTTACCTTTAGACGCATCCATACTACCATCTATTACTCGCTGGTGTATTCACACGTATCATACGAGCATACTTTGCCTTCAGACACACCCATACTAGCATCTATTACTTGCTAACGTATTAAGCGAACAATTCGTCATCGGTTATCCGGCGCACTTATTTCTCTCCCACAGACACACCAGTCATCATGGCACAGGGCCAGCAGACGATGCATATCGTCGAAGATCTACACAGCAGATCCAATAGATCCCTCGGAGGAGACCTTCAGCAAGATCCTTGTGGCCAACCGAGGGGAGATCGCCTGTCGCGTCATCCGCACCGCTCGCCTCATGGGCATCAAGACCGTAGCCGTGCACTCCGATGTCGACTCCTATGCCGTGAGTCTTTTTTTTAGCGCATTTTCTCATTTATGGAAAAAATGCACTATTGTGCTCGCCATGTCCATCTGTCTGTCTGTCCGTCCGTCCGTGACCCCAAATTTTAGTCGACGAGAAAATGCGCTCTCTGTCACTCACTGCAGTGAGTACTGAGTTATATTTTTTTCTCGTTACTTGTTCTCTTGCTGTTATGTATTATTAATCTAATGATTGTCATTAATTAATCCTGTATGTATTAAGTAGTATTAAGCATTTAAGTTGACACCGTGTGCGTTGTGGTCCAAAATGTTAGACAGTGTTGTAGATTTAGAGGCCATGATCCTTTAATCGTAAAGATTTTATATTTTTTTGTATAATTTTAACGAATTATCATATTTTGATGGAAGATCTTTGAATCCTAGGGTCTTAGTTCACATCCTAGTCTCTCGCTATCGTGCCATGCAGTATTATGGATTGCCGCATTATACATAATCCGACATTATGTGTTGCCGTATTATACATAATCCGACATTATGTGTTGCCATATTATACATAAACCTGCATTATGTGTTGCCGTATTATACATAATCCGACATTATGTGTTGCCATATTATACATAAACCGACATTACCGTATGTGTTGCCGTATTATACATAATCCGACNCATAATGTCGAATTATGTATAATGCGGCAACCCATACTGCCGCATTATACATAATTCGACATTATGGGTTGCCGCATTATACATAATTCGACATTATGGGTTGCCGTATTATACATGATCCGACATTACGGGTTATCTTATTATACATAATCCTACCAAAATATTTCAGTATATTATATGTTAGTTAATTTATATATAGCAAACTATCAGATGTATCAGGTGTATGCGCTGACCTTAAGCTTAGGTATCAAGTTTGCATGGCTCGTGTGTAGCGTCTCTGTCTTGCCCGCTGCCCGACACTGTGTCATCTCGTGATCAATCCACGCAATCGTTGCTGCTAAGTTCTTAACTTTTTGGTCACCCTTGACCGCTAAAGAAACTATTTTTGCCTCCTTTTTAAAATAATTTCTGCGTGATAGATAAATAGTTTTCCGTGAATTATTAGATATTCGGTCTTTCAATGAATTAACTGTTGTAAAATATACTTGAATTACCGCCTTCTCGTTTTTTCCTCTTCTTGCTACTGCATTAGTCACATATTCACAAAATTCTCACGATCAATTGCTCTTCTACTAAGAACCATTATTTTCTTTTACCATTTAGGGATACCCCTTTGTACGAATAAACTCGTGAGTGTTGTGAGTAAAAGTATCAAATCTTCCTTTAGTAGCGGGAAAGATTAATTTCAGTGCAATCATTTAGATAATGGATTTAAATTAAATAAAAAGTTACATCTAATTTATATTTCGTGTTGAGAGTCGTTTTTTGAATCACCTGGTATCTTAGATAAACGTGTTGCGTGCATTCCGGTACTCGAGCAAAGAGATCTTGCGTGATGATTTAATACCAAGTCATGTGAACGTAACACGCCAACTAATGTGAAAATACTAACTTCATAACTAATTATTTACCAGTATCTTGTCATATATTGCTTAGGTAAATACAATTCTAACGCTGGATATTCTAAATTACTTCAATGGTCCTAACTGAAAAAATTAAGTCTCGACCGAAAAAAGGAAAAGGTCGCACTCGACGATGTTACTGAGAAGTTACAAGCTATACCTTATTTGGCAGTTAAAATGTTCTAGTGAGCGCAAAATGACTTGCACTGATGGTTGCCGCCACGTACGACAGTTCTAAAATGTTCTCTGTTGCGTACGAGCGTCCTCAGGTTGCTACACTCAATAGTTTACGTATGATTCAAGTTGAAAGTTATGTTCCCGGAGAGTGGCATACGGCGGTAGAGGGTTAAGAGACAATTCAATGGCAATTTGATCGCTTGTGTGCTGGTTTAATTGCGAAGACAACCCTGAGGCCACATTCAAATTGGGTTTCCTTTTATTAAAAAGCCAAGCTATTAGAGCTATTAAATATTTTCCATGTCTCTTGCTAATTTTAGACTGTTGTGTTAATCTGATGAATTTCATCATCAGTATTCGCTTTCATTGTACGGTTATGTTCTTGGCCTATGCATTGTAATGTTTTAGTACGCACTTTTTTCTAACTCTTTAATTTGGGATTATAAAATTAAATCGTTCATCACATCGTTTTATCGTTTCCTTGGTTAAACCTGCTCTCGATGGCGCGGTGAGGTTTGTTCAAAGTAAAGCATTTGATTGTGTTTGCCCCTAAGTCCATGTCCGTCAAATTGTGAAAGTATGAAAAAGAAGACTAGTGACAATCCTGATATAAAATAGGGTTATTTTTAGCGTATTTTCTCATTGAAAAAAGGCGCTATTGTGCTCTTCACATCCGTCCGTCCGTGACTTCACGTCACGGACGGACAAGAAAATGCGCTCTCTGTCATTCATTGCAGTGAATACTGATCTAATTTTTTGGCTATTATGAGAAGAAAATCTAACTCAACGTTTTTTTTCTAGAAAGAAGAAGAATAGAAACTGTAATCGAATATAAAATTGTCATATTATCCATGTTCATCCTGGTAATGTTTATAAATTAACTGAAATTTCGTGTTTCAGCCTCACGTAAAGATGGCGGACGAGGCCGTATGTCTGGGCACTGCGCAGGTGAAGGATTCTTACCTGCGCGTCGACAGGATCCTCGACGCCATCCACGCTACCAAGGCCGATGTCAGTTCTGCCTCCTTAACTTGATATGGAAATACAGTTCATTACTGTTGATCAGGTCACCTGCTTATTTGGGTTAAATTTTCGGAAATCAAAACATGTTCGTTCCCGTTTTGATCACAAAATATGTTCGCTCCCGTTAAGGGGAGACCCTATTGATTTTAGTAATCTTCGCTGTTCAGAAATATAGTTGTATTGAAAAAAGCAACTATATTATTTAACGTGTGAAACACAGATCTAACTTAAAATGGTCACTTAGGCCTCCTGCTTATTTGGGTTAAATTTTCGTAAATCGAAACATTTTCGCTCCCATTTTGATCGAGATGAGGAGGTCCGATCCGATTGATTGATCTTCACTGTTCAGAATGTAGTTGTATTGAAAAAAAACACCGTATTATTTTACGTGTGAAACACAGATCTGACTGAAAATTTCTCTCGTAAGTAATACAGTTGGTTGAATAGGCATCTTAAGTTGAGTCTCTATGATAGGAGATTGATTCTTTTATTGATTGATTTGTACATGTTACAATCTGAATAATGGCGTCTGATTATATGTGAATCATGATATGTTATCTTAAATATCACAGCATATGGGGTGTATTAGAAAAGCACCGCTCATTTGGTCAGGTAAATGACTCCCTTCTAACTAGACATGACTCCGTGTAACTTATGGTTACTTCACAAGCTGTAACTGCCTCTAAAAGCTAACTAATTGGCGTGGAGTGAAGACACGTTGCGCAATGCATTAGCATATCCGATAATCACTCACTTCCAAAAGTTTCTACATTGAATGAGATTGAAGTTGTCTTTCAATTAGGCTGCTCTGCGAAGGATTAGGGTTTGCATCCGACGTATCAATCATTTCAGCTTATGTAAAAGAGATAAGATACTTGAGACCACACCTCGTCTATCACATATCGAACATATAAGTTTTATGTATCTCGCGTATAATATAATAATAATAATTTTAAAGCGAAGAAAACGCCACAAAAATTCAGTATTTCTCTATTGAAAACGTTTCGGTTTTTTTTCTTATGACTCCAAACTTTATTAATTTTCTGACTGTATTTGTGTTCTAGATTTATCGAATTGACGATGGAGCTGGTCTCCAAAACGTTTTCAATAGAGAAATGCTGAATTTTTGTGGCGTTTTATATTAATATTAATAATAATAATTTATTAATGATATTAATTATAATAATTAATAATAATAATTGCTGCTAAAGTCAACACTATCCCTGGTGAGCACACTTTTAGTCCCGTCCACACGCTCAAACTAATCGTCAGTCTTGCATGTCACGCCAAAGTTTGACTGACAAGACGGAAGACTGACGAGCGTCCACACGCTCAAACTTTCCTTCAGTCTTGTGCGCTCGTGGCAATGAAGGAGCTAGTGCTGCTCGCTGCAGTGATCGCAGTTTGTACCATCAAAATTAGGTTAAAGCGCTGCAAACGTGCGCGGTGGTTCCGAAAATGGTTTTAAAAAAATACCACAATGAGGGTTGATAGACAACATCTCTACTAGCTCCAGTCCGCTTTGACGACTTCATTTTGACACATTCTTTTCGAAATAGAGTTTATTTTCTTCGTTACAAAGTCTTTGTTTGCTGTAGGATCAACTTCTTTGCACTAATCAATGTCGCATATGCCAGTGTTCTCTTATTCTCGTCACTGTAGCTTTTTGATTGAATTTACCACAAACAAGGGAAACTACGATATAATTCGATAAACTCACCAAAAGAAATCGTGAAACCAGTGTCGGATATCTTGAGATATTAAAAACTAGAGCTAGCGAGGAACAATGTCAGCTCTCAATATCAATATAGACTGAGATAGAGTAAAAGTTTGACCAATTTGTCGGTTGCCCTTCCACACACTCAAACTTATCGTCAGTCTTGCATGAACCCAAAGGTCTCGTCAGTCCGTCTTTTCCAGGTTTGTCAAACCTCAACTCCGCCCACCCGTCTTGCAAGACGTCAAACTTTGAGCGTCCACAGTCCACACGCTCCGTCTTGTTGGTCAAACCTGGCATGACATGCAAGACTGACGATAAGTTTGAGCGTGTGGACGGGGCTTTAGTCCAAACGACTTGTTGTTGTGGCCATCACACTGTTAGAAAAATTACCGTTAACGTTATTACCGGCGTTTCAGTGGCCGGTCGGCACGTGAAAAGACACACCGTGTCGCCGTTTTTATTCTAATTTAACACTAGAAATCCGTGAAACATCTGATAAAAACGGCCAAACAGCTTATTTTCACGGGGCGACCGGCCACTAGAATGCCAGTGGGACCGTTTTTTCACCGTTTTTTTTTTTTCAACAGTGCACTATCCCTAGTTTCAGTAACTTTCAGTCGAAACGACTTGCTACGGCGACTATTGTTAACATCATCTTTGGTGAACAAATCCTCACTCATAATTGCTTGCCATATTTACCCAAATTAGCATAGTTTAACCGTAATCATCACTTATCAGCTGTGTATGTCTAAATTCTGTTATATTGATTCATTCGATATATGATTATATTGTTGATTTGATGTAATATGAAATTAATTCTCATATGTATAGCACCAACATTGCACCCTCTCCTAGAGCAGATCCTCACTGTTTTCCTCTATCGCTATAATAGGCGGAAGAAACCACTTATGAAGAGACAGTTATTCATTCATAGTTTAGTTCATCCCAGTGTGCATCTAGTAACGCCTATATTGTGACTTTCACATTCGTTGAGCGGAGCAGCGATTTTAATGTGCACTCGCTAGAACATATTCGGACTAAGAATACGCCAGTATTTAAATGCATATCAATTTCCAACACTGTTGCATTTACCATATTTACTTCAACCATTCACCCAACGCAGTCACATCCGTCCGTGAGACATGACGACATCGTAAAAGTTCATAGCCCCAGGTAGTAACAGTGGTATCCTCGATACGGTTTTATCTTCATTCACTGCACCTTCGAAAACAGCTGCATTTTCCTTGAAGCACGAGGTATTATCTTGGCTATTCACTCACTCAGTCACATCCATAAAAACTGAAATTAGTGCTGTGATGAAGATTAATTGAATTGAGCTTCACCTTACTACAGGATACGACGGCATCGTAGAAGACGCGGAAGCGTGCGTGCGGATCGCTCGTGAGATCGGCTACCCGGTGATGATCAAGGCGTCGGCAGGAGGCGGCGGTAAGGGCATGAGGATCGCTTGGGACGACCAGCAGGCCAGGGAAGGATTCAAGCTCTCGTCACAAGAGGCAGCGTCTAGTTTCGGAGACGATAGGATACTTGTGGAGAAGTTTGTCGACAAGCCACGGCATATCGAGATACAGGTGAGTAGAATGCACCTCGTTACGCTATCAGTGTTGATTGTGTAGCTTCGAAGAAATTTTGCCACCTGCCCTTAATTGTGTTTTATCATTTTGTATCAGTCTAAAATAAATTTAAGTACAGCAGTGTTAAACTTAACAAGTTGGAATTTGGGCTTCTGACTCACTAATCGACATTAGATAAGTTACTCCATGACACATGTGTCATAGTGATTTGTGAAATTTAATTAATGAAACTCCTGCAAACCATTATTCATGAAACTCAACGAACATTTTCATTTTGAACTGATCTTTAATGGTGTCAAACTATGAGAAGTAAAATTTAAATCAATGAAATTCACGTGCTCAATGTATTTGACTGCTGTTTGGCGTTGCAGGTTCTTGGGGACAAACATGGCAACGCAATCTACCTCAACGAGCGCGAGTGTTCAATACAGCGCCGCAACCAGAAAGTCATAGAAGAAGCACCGAGGTGAAGGCTCTCACCTAGCGCTAAATATTTTCTCACATAGAGCTCGTGTATCCTGTATACGCCTAACTCACTTATAAAGCCTAGGTATACTATATACGACTAACTCAATTACGGACCTTTGTATCCTTGATACTCCTAACTTGCGAGACTTATGTAGGTAACTCCTAACTTGCGAGACTTATGTAGGGATCATAGATACTCTTAAATCTCTCTCAAGTGCTTTGCCGCCGTAGAGATTGACCTATCTTCTTGTGTGTTGTCATTATGTCGATATTTCATTAATGACCATTCAGCTCGTCTGGCATGCCACTGTTTAGACTGTTTGCTCTCCACAACTCCATTCTAATGACCGAAGGAAAGAACAAATTGTATCTTATTCAATGCCATTCCTACGAAGGACGCCTGTGCTCGAGCTGGATACAACTAACCCTAATCATGTTATGCTTAATCTTACATAATTTTTTCTAATGTACTGGTAGCAAAAATTTCTATTAAGAACTTGAAAAACCTTTTCTTGCATCCCCTTTACATCCACTTGCTTCTTTTGCTTTGTCCCGCCTCTGACGCAACCAAGACCCTCCAACTCCTAGCCTCCTGCCTCTTTCATGCATACACTTTCATCACAGCTCCAACTTCGCCTTATTGATCTCATCACCTGTCGCTCTCTTGGCATCGACATTCCCACCCATACTCACCCAGAATGCGATGCGTAAATGACCACTCACTCGTATTTTTTGGGCTGTATGTATACAGGGTGTCCCAAAAAAAACGATACCCAACTTTGAATGGCTGTAACTCGAAATGTAATAGAGTTAAAAAAATTTGAAAGGTCAGAATTTGTTCCCTATGTTTTTCTCCATCTCTCCACCGAAAATCAGACAGATCGATGTAGCCATAAGCGTTTGATAGAACTTTCAGTGACATGTGCTAAAATCGTGCTTGCGCAAAGTTTTAGTAAGATCATTTTGCATAATCATTACGTTGTCTTGACATGTTTTCTTTCCGCTGTTTTATTTTTTAGCGCATTTTCTCATTTATGAAAAAATGCAAGTAATGAGTATGCAAAATGATCTTACTAAAACTTTGCGCAAGCACGATTTTAGCACATGTCACTGAAAGTTCTATCAAACGCTTATGGCTACATCGATCTGTCTGATTTTTGGTGGAGAGATGCAGAAAAACATAGGAAACAAATCCTGACCTTCCAAAATTTTTTATCTCTATTTTTTTCGAGTTACAGCCATTCAAATTTGGGTATCGTTTTTTTGGGACACCCTGTATATCTCCCTACGCAAAACGGACGTCAGTGCATCAGCCGCATGTGCAGCGTGCTCCTGCTCTTCACACCCTACCCACGTTCATACACGTCACACGCAGCGTGTTGCTGCTTCTCAATGCACACCACACGCTACACGCAGTGTATTCATGCCCTCCCAATCTTTCACGCTACCCTCAGCATATTCGTGCCCACGTAACTCTACACGGTATTCGCAGCGTATTCCTGGACGCGGCGACGCGGGCTGCGATGGGCGCGCAGGCAGTGTCGCTGGCCAAGAACATCGGCTACTCCTCGGCCGGCACAGTCGAGTTCCTCGTAGACTCCAAGAAGAACTTCTACTTCCTCGAGATGAACACTAGACTACAGGTCCCTCCTGCGCCTATAGTTCTCATGAGTTCACGTATTTATTATGTATAACATTCGGCATTTTGTTAGGCCTCTGAAGAGCTTGTACACTTTCTATTTTCGCTCGAGTTTTGTTAACAATGATGCGTCTGTTGTGTTCGCTCGAGTTCATTTAGTTATTACGTCCAATACTCGGCATTTCACAAGGCCTCTGATGTGCTAACACACTTTCTATCATTACATAAGTTATGTTTGCAATGAACGTGCTCCATTGCGACTCAAAATTACTTGCTATTATTACATAGGTTTTTATTTAATAACCGTCTTTCTTCCCGGCTGATTCAAATGTATACATGACGTTTAATCACAAATCTTTTAAAAAAACAAATATTGATTGCTCATTCACTACCTATCTATTATCGATGTTTAATGTACGTTTGATGTTGGGCAGGTAGAGCATCCCATCACTGAATGCATCACGGGTGTCGACCTCGTGCATCAGATGATCAGAGTGGCTAAAGGTTCGTTAACTGGATGGAGTGTTTTAGAACTTAGGCGCAGACGGCCGCTTGAAAATAATTTTGTTATCGAAACTACACATGGCAAGTAAGATTGTGGGGGCGAACGATAGTTTGACTTTAAAAATGACTGTTCAAATGCTTACTTTAATATATTCTGACGTACTATTTATTTTCAAGTTGGTATTGAATTGTCAGGGTATTTGATAAGTTGCAATTTTTTATCCGGAATGCGCTATGTACTTGTGATGTCCAACTTCCAGGCCACCCTCTGAAGCTGCGTCAGGAGGACGTGCAAATCAGAGGCTGGGCCATCGAGAGCCGCGTGTACGCTGAGGATCCCTTCAAAAGCTTCGGCCTGCCATCCATAGGCCGACTCTCGCGCTACCAGGAGCCCCTGCACATTGATAAGGTCATTGCGGTTGTCAACCACAGAATAATTGAGTTCTGTTTTTGTGGCGCCGCATTGGAAACACGTTCTCTTTTTTCCTTTGAAGGATTTTCGATTAACTTTTAGGAGTGAAACTACAATTATTAACATTCATCGATCAAGAAAATCAGTTAGAGTATATTTGTATATTTTCTGGTCAGTTTGCTTAAAGGAGACAAATTAGATAAATTTCCACTAAGACACAGCTAGGATTAGTGAATTTCAAGACGCACAGTTCATCTAGGAAAAAATTCTAGAAACTTTTAATGAGATCCTAGTATTTCTTTAAGTGTTCTGCAATATTTATCGTCTACTTTAACTATTTCATCTACTTACTAAGCAGAGAAACGCCAATAGTCTCATTATTCCCTTCTCCCATCGCGCGCTTTTTCTAAGGTGCACGCTGGCTTTTGAGTTAATTTAGGAAAATATGCGTGATCAATGTACAATTCAGTTCGCTCGTTTGTGCATGAAAGTATTCCATGGATGTACAGGTTCGGTGCGACAGCGGCGTGGAAGAAGGCAGCAACATCAGCATCTACTACGATGCGATGATCTGCAAGCTCGTGTGCTACGGTGACACAAGGGAAGAGGCCATCCGGACCTCCATCAAAGCCCTCGACGCCTACGTCATCCGAGGTCCTTACAGAGGGCTGGTTGTGCTGGATTTCATTTATTTTTGCTAGATATTTGACTGTCTATTTGTTTGTTTCTTCTTAATGTCAAATTTCATACAAAGATATTTGTTTCTCTTATTTATGTCAACTTCTCTGAATTCTCTGATTCGTCTCTGACAACTTACATAGAAAGAAAATGTTTTTATTTATGGCCAATGGAGATACTCCTCCCTTTCTGAAAAATCAGAAGTAGACTCGTCAATCCTTCTCAAAATGAAAAATTTTGCCACAGGCGTGACTCACAATATTCCCCTGCTGCGTGACATCCTAACGGAAGAGAGGTTCTGCAAAGGTGACATCTCGACGAACTACCTGCCTGAGGTCTACCCCGATGGCTTCAAGGGCAAGCAACTCTCTGATGATGAAAAGGTTGCATCACCTCTATCAAATTTTATTCTGATATTATCACATAGTGCTAATATACAGTGCTCAACAATACTAATATATATAACAATAATATTATATAATAATTACATAATATATATAACAATACTACTCAATATAGATATAGTGCTAAATAATGGATGCGTCTTTCGTTTCTCCGGAAATTTTGATTACTTTTTCTTGTTTATTAATTTTTCCTTAGCTAAGTATTCAAATTTAGGAAATTTTTTGATTAGCTTCAAACGAAGGCTCGTAAATTACTCCAGACTTGTGTTGCCTAACTAACATTTAAAACCGTGTTGCAGTTCGAACTGATCTCCATGCTGGGATGCGTGCACGCCAAGGAGTTGCTACGTAACCGCCAAATCCGCAACCGCACTCGTCAGAAGTCGCGTGACCGCTCGCCTACCCGATGGGAAGTGGTAGCTTCTGTGGGGGGCGAGCACACGCCTGTCACCGTCTACAGAGACGGCTACAATTTCAGGGTACGTGGGTACAACTTCGTGTATTCGAGAACAGGCATGGTGCTGGTTACTTCAACCATGCGAAATTTAAGGTCTTTTTACGGCGCATTTTTAAGTAACTTCATCGACGAATGCTTATTCAGTTCATAATGTTGTGTCACTTTATCTTGTTGATTTTACACGAGTGTTTTGAATATTTTATTTTGAATATATAATATATACTGAATATATATTTTACTCCTGTGTTTAAACATATGAATTGTTCATTAAATTATTTGTCTCAAGAAATTTATCGTGAAGGGAAGCAATTTAATCCAGCCTCTTGGAAGACTTGTTTATTTAATGTTGGTCTTCTCATGCGCGAGTTTTGCAGTGCAAATGCAACTATTTGTAACGAATTTTCCAATGTTAGCTACTGAGATATTGTTCTCGGTTGTTTAATCTCCATATTTTAAATGCAGACTGAAATTGGCGGAAGAGAGGCGATCGTAAGCGGCTCGTTCGATTTAGCGAGCCCACTTCTGGAGGCGAAAGTCAACGATAACCACGAGACCATGCAGCTCATAAGGATGGATATGGCTGGAGGAATCAGAATCAGGTGAGCAGTGTTTGCAACGCTGATAACTAATACGCATTCAATACTGCAATTAACCTCCTGCTCGGGAAATCCTTCCCTGCAAATGAACTTGTGACCACTGCTAAAGGAAAGGATTTTGATTTTTCGTCCCCCTCGGAGTCGTAAAGTAAAGATGCAGCGAATTAGAGAAATTTCATTAAACCATCAATATAGTTACCATAGAATTAATCATAATTTTAAAGGGTGGATCCATACTTGGCGTCAGTAATTTCAATAAATCACCCCTGGGAGTGCGGCAATAATGTCTTCCATTGTCTTTGCAAAATTTTCATTGTTTAAGGCTTGTGCATCCTCTCAATGATAATCCAGCCAAGATTAGAGGATCAATAAGGTTTGATGAGTCGATATTTTTCAAAAAATTTTGCAGGTATCAAGCCAGGATTTTATTTTATAAATTGCCTCACAATAATTTTACTTCTCTGCACGGCCGTCTTCAAGCAAGACTTCGGCCATTGCATCGATAACGGAAGTTTGATGAAATTTTCTGTACATTTCAGATACAAAGGAACTGCATTTCAAGCTCGCGTTGTGTCGAAGCTCGCTCACGAATACCTCAACATGATGCCCGAAAAGACCGTGGCTGATGAGAGCAAGATGGTCGTATCTCCCATGCCGGGACTTGTTAAGAACGTGTCCTGTCAGGTCGGCGACATGGTGGCTGAAGGACAGGAGCTTTGTGTCATCGGTGAGACTGTTTCCAGTAACTCACAGTTTCTATGTAGTCACACATGGGTATTAAGAACATCGTTCCATATAAATTTTTGGCATTTCATTGAAATGTGTAAAATTTTTTGTGAATTCAGAATTTTAGGTGTAATACCATATGTTCTTCTAGCTTGCATTTAAATTCAAGTCAAATGTTCACGCACGTGTGTTTTTCTTTACTTCACTCTCGATCGAATGTTTTACCCTTGGAAATGTTCAACAGACGGACACTTTCTGTATGGAGTCATGGTAGTATTATTTATGGTGAACATGTTTTCACTACACTCGTGTGACGTATTGCCTCTGGGTGTATATTATCTAAATTCATTGTAAATACATACATTATATCCTCAATGTACATAGATTAGCTGAGAGGAAATGATTAAAGGCTAGCATTTTGGTTTAAGATCTAGTTCGTGGCATTGATATCTTGCCGATGACCTACAGAGGCCATGAAGATGCAGAACTCGTTGACTGTGGCCGCTTCAGGGAAGGTGAAAGCTGTCAACATTAAGGTCGGCCAAACCGTCGATGAAGAGGAAGTTCTTGTCGAGCTCGAGTGATTCTGAAAATCTTTGGTTTAATTTGGAAAATTTTCTCTCGCGTTTGGGGCGGAAATGTGCGGAAGGCCACGAGAAGTTCCTCACTCCCTTACACGGAAAATTCTTCCCGTAAAAATACCCGATGTTTTCTTTTATAGATTTTACTGTGCTAGCAACCGTAAGTAACAAATCCTACTATTTTCTGCAGATATTGCCCCTTCAGAGGTGTATAAAGTACGCGTTGATCATTGACACTCGCAGACCAAAGGCTTCGTCAGAAAAAAATTCTCTCATTTTAAAATGAATAATTGTTTCAAATATTTTTCTGTACAATTGTTATGTGAATGATTATTCCGTTTTGATGATTAATTTTTGAAGTTGGTATCTGTCACGATCGCCGTGACGAGTAATACAAGTTTAAGAAATGGAAGTACAAATTGCTGCTATATTACCTAGCCCTCGACACGAATGCTAACTCGTGTTCATAAATTATGAGAATTGGACGATGAGATCATGACCTGCTTTTCACCTCTGCATTATTTTTTCACACAACTTTCACTGTCGAATATTAGAGTCCATTTTCCAGATATGAACGTCTTCCTGTTTTGTTCTGCACCCATGACACTAAGTTGAATCATATGCCTTTGTCTTTTTGAAGCACACTTTAGAATTGTTTTTATCTCGAAATAACTGGATTGTGGCGACCTGATTGGTTGCTTGTATTTACTACCTGAATTGAATCTAGAGAGCGGGGTTGGGAGTTTTCGTGGAACGTTATAGTTACTATGAGGTTACTGTACATAGTTCAAATTATACTAGTTGAGCTGAGTGGTAGGTCAGTGGTAGCTGAAAGCGCTTTTTAGGTTATAGAAGCTTAGCATGCTTTCATCCCGGTTTCTAGTTTCCTTCGTGGCATTTTTCTCAACTTGAAAGACATGTATGACCAGTAATACGTTCAAAAATCTATGGTTTAATTTATTTATTTTCTTGAGTTCTATAATTGGCATGTGATATTAACATAGCATAGAACTGCGCTGTGTTTTAGACCACTTGTCATAACGTGACTTGCATTTATAAGCGTTTCATAATGGTAATGAATTATAAGTGTGATTATTTCAACTTTTCAATGATTGTAGATACTTGTGTTGAATATTTACTTGTATTGCTGTTGACTTGTTTTAGATTATTAATAGTTGTTTCAATTTGTTTGGTTACTTTGCTGAACGATGAGGCTTGTTTCTCACTGGTCTACAATGCTACGTGTTAAATGTTCTTTGATGACAATTGAATAATTAAAAAATATGTGAGCACGGCTCGGTGGTCCTTTTTGTGTACCAACAAGCAATCTGTATTTGTAAATGTATCTTTTATCTGTAGCCTTGGTGGCCTCTTTATTCTTTCTTTCATGTTGACAAATGTATGATCATATGATGAATTTACTGATATTAACTAAACGAGAAAGAATCTTATTTGCTTTCACGATGAAAACTGACATGAACTCTGCATGGGGTCAATATCTTGAACTGAAGACGCGTTGGGAGTTCTCTAAAATCTTTCAGATCTCAGCTGGTATACTTTTTTACTTTTCTTCGGGAATCCAGAAGTATTGTTTTGCTCGTTTCTATTTTTGGGATTGTTGATCGACGGCTCTTCCGCGTGGGATTTGAATTATTGTGAAGGATTCCTTGCATTGACCATTCTCGTCTCTCGTTCAAGCGGCCAATGTGCGATTCGCATTTCAGACTTTCTGTTGCTGTTATATTTTTCGTCTGAACTGTTGACGGTGTTCTTTTCTCGCTAGCTTCAGAGCGAGAAGCGATAGGAAAACTTGCGTCATTTTTCTGCGTTGTCGAAGTTTGATTTGAGAAAGTTTGTGATAATATTGTCGTGCTACCACTGTAAGAATTATCGGTGCGAGAGGCTGCCATGATCCAGCCACCATCAAGGCAAAATGTATTTTGACCGGCACTTAAATGCTGCGTTGCCAACTACTTTTTGGCCGAGGATATCATCGACAGCTCATCATACCAGACTTTAGCTAATGTGCCTAATCGAAAATATCCATACCTGACACCATCTCTACATGCCAGATTTGTGCAATCTGGTATAAAAATAAACGTGGTGGCAACGTGGTTAATTGTGCTGCCAGATATATTTAGTACGAAACTATAATCAACCTCAAAACCCTGAGTACTCGTACTTCCAGATTTACCATTTTATGTCCATGTCAATATTGGCCATTTATCGTTTGTAGTTCCATTAATAACAATCTTCAACGCCGTTTTAAGTGAAAGCTTTTTTTGGGGTTATTTTACTTGCACATTTTTACAATTTGCATCTTTACTAATGGGCATGATTTACTGAAATTTTGGTTACTTACCACACGGTATTCTGAAGTGAACTCGTAATTACCATTGTTGTGTGTGCTCCCATTGATACTCGTACGCCGTTTATAGCATCATGTAGAAAGACGAGCGTTGAATTTTGGCTGATTTTCTGTTAATAAACTATAATTTTTTGTGAAATGATTGTTTAGCCTTTGCGGACGAACTACGTACGTAATTACATATTATTGCCAATATCGTTATATAGACTGGATAATGCCACCCATCAGCTCAGAAAAACGGAAAAAAATTCAACCAAATATAGATTTGATGTGTAATTTGACCCAAAATTTTTTACGAAGACCTTGAAGACACACGTGCCAGAAATGTAGCCAGAAAAAACACGCACACGATGGAATGCGGTCGAGATGCATCCACTGCAGACTCAGTTCATCTTGTTGATGATGCTGTCGCGCAACTTGAGCACCTCGCGCGACACTCTATCGTACAGAAGCTTTCCGTTGACGTCAAAATACTTCTCGATTGGGAGAGCAGCGGAAGATTCTTTTACCTGCTTTGTCTTGCCACACTTGTACGTTAGTGTCAGGTGGTAAACTGTGTCAAACCTGAAAACCACGAAACATCATTAACAGATCAAATTTAGAGAGAGGGAAATTCGTTTATTTATTATTCACCACATCAAGATGGCTTTCTGGACATCTGAAAGCGGGCATTTAGCTCAGAATTACTATTAAAGGTTCAAAATGTGTTAGGACTTGAGATTACGTTAAAAATTATATGAAAACACATTAAAAATCGGAATGTGGAAGCAAAAGAAAATGCTCAGCAATACTAGAGAAATATAAAAATACTGAATTTCTTTCCTTTCTCTCCTGCAGATATAGGTAATTAAAGAGAAAACTGATTACAATCTTTAGAAGCAACCAACGTGTCCACTTCAAGCAAGTTACTGCATGAAATTCAATGAATTCGAAATAACAAATCATGCATAAACAAAGTTAGGAATACACTAGGAACATCTGACAAAAACTTCTGCGATGTTGATGATACTGACAAGAAATGAAATTGGTAGTATTTTAATGAGTCATTATGATGCTTGGCACTTATTTTTTTCCCTCCAAACAATGTAAGAGTAATAAAAGACTCATTTTATTTATTTGTATCAAGTTCCCGAACTTTTATGCAATTACTTACCTATTTAATAAAAAGGTATTTTTCAATTCAGAAATCTCTAGGCCAGTAAGGATAATTTCAGTTTTAAATGACATCGGACATATAAAAATGAGTACAAAAGTGCAAGGAATTCTGGCAGCAGGAGGTGTCAGAAACAGCACATGGCCCACACCTTTTGATGTTAGAAGAAGCACTCCACACGTCGCTGGGGTCAATATGGCTGGGGTCCTCCTTGAGGACAGTTGCAAATGTGCCCTTCTCAACGACTGATGTGTGCCACGTCAGGATGGCAGACATCACAAAGTAGCAGACCACACACAGCATCAGCACTGACCTTAAATTAAATTGGCAAATCAAAAAACAAAATACTCAAATGATGATTTGAACTCATTTGGTCATTGTTTTTAATTAAAGATGCAATTTTATCTATCACAGATGAAAATGTTATAGTGTAAGTAATAAAAATTACATATGTGTACCTTGAGAGTGGGAATGGGAATAAGTAGTCATATGCAAGGGCAAAGAGAGAAAATCCCACAGCCAACGAGGAAATGATGAGCCGCCCATCAATGAGTCTGAAGCATTCTTTGCTGCAGATGTGATTCATCATCACCTGCAAGAATTTTTATATTATTGATAAAATAATGGTACAACAATTGGTACCATAAATTACAGTTGAAATCATCTTCATATAATAGAAAAAAAAATAAAAAATACTCAATTGTCAATCTAAGAATTACCAAATAATGATTTTAATATGAAGTCAATAATCGTAAAAAAATTAAAAACTTGGAGGAGTACAAATAAACTTACACTTTTGGTTGCATCATCTAATGCATTCTTGACAGCATTGCCATCCCACTTGTTGATGGTTGGGGGGTCTTCTTCCATGATTCTAAGTTGGAATAAACAATAGCAACAAGTCTTCAGAACATGAAAAATCACCCAATTTAAATTTATCTAAGAATCCCTAAATTTTAATACAATTGATGGTCTAGTTACTTCAATAAGGTAGCAATCAATTGGTTTTGTATTAATAATAGAGTGTCCATAGTGGAGGTCTGAAGACAGGCAACAATTACCAAAATTATATTTCAACTGCCACATGATTGATTATTAATGCAGTTCATGTATCTCATGCTAACTTTTGTACTCTTATACATTGAATCAAGATAGAATTGATGTCGTCAATACAAATTAAAAAAAATTCCTTTGTCAAAAATATTACAATAAAAACATCTTTGTAGTAATTTTGTTGTTATAAACTCTGCAAACTGTAGTTCTGACCAGTATATATTATATGGATTTTAGTACCAAACAGCTAAGCAATACCCTTACAGCAACTGATAAATGGCAACTTATTTAGCTGCCATTGATACAGATTAATAATGAATTACACTACCTATCAAATTATAAGTAAAAGTACCTGATCAAGCCATTAGATTCTAAATTTATTGAAAATGCATCAGTTTATAGCCAGGCATAGAATATATCTACCATCAAACGAGGTAAAAAGAGACAGGCAGTGTAAATCGGGATGGGTGTGCCATATTTTGCAATGTTGTAGCAGCTCAACTAATCAAAATATTGCAAAACTAAAAATAGTGGCATAAACTTCAATATTTTTACTATATATCAAGTTTTAAGCTAGTCAAGAAATCAAACATTTACTATCTCTAAAAAATCACTGAAAAAAAGTGTGAAAAATGCAATTTTGGAAAAGTCACTCTGCTAAGGTCTAGAGCAAAAAAAAATATTTGCCATATTAAAAAAAATTTACATACATAAAAATTGCACACAGGTGTCAGCTTGAAAACGTAATTGACGGAATTTGCCTATCTCATTCCAAAAAAATGGCTGCCACTTCTGCGTGATGGGGTAATAAGAGACACCCCCCTCGGGTAATTAGGGACAACCCTCAGGGTAATAAGGTACAACCCTAAAACACATTTACAGCAGATCCTCTGTTAGCAAAGGCCACAGTTGAGATAGATATGGGTTAACACTTTGACTGCAACGTGCGCCATATATGGTACACGCACATGCATATCCTAAACTGCGATGTGCGCCATATATGGCGCACGCTTAAAAAAATTAGTTTTTTAAAAAAGCTCTTTAAAATATCAGCCAGATCATAAACTTGTAAAAAATATGACGAATAATTGACAATAATGTTTTCAAAAACCTATATGAACGTCGTGCAATCGAATCAAAAGAATCTTAGTAGTTGGAATGTAGCCTGAAATAATGAGTGGTTACAAAAAAGAAAAAGTATTAAATAAAGGGGGTTATCCTCATCCAATATGTTGAAAATCCTTTTTTCGGTATTGGTATGGATCATAGCAGTAGAAAAATAAGTATTAGTCATTCTAAAGTTGCCTAAGCTCACACAGAAACAGAATGGTACTGTAAAAAGCAAGATAAACAGTGATACGGATTCTGAGTACTGGGCTAGCAATTGATAGTTACTTTTCTAGCTTTTCGTCTCACTTTAGCACCAACTAACTTCTTTTTTTTTTTGCATTTATGTTAAAGCAAGACTCAGATCAGTAGCTTGTCTTGGCATGAAGTTCAGATCCTCAGCTTCAAATACTTTAGAGCTGGAACGCCAACATCTAAAATCATTGTGATTTAGTTATAGAAACATTTCTTCACGTGTCTGACCTATTACTAGTGAAAATACATTCAGTAATCTTCAAGGACTTCAGCAATTCACATCAATTTTTACTGACTATAGAACTGATCACCAAGCACCCAGGCATTTGCTACAGTTTTTGACAATAACTTGAACAGTTGTCAGTACCACTCCATGCTTTGCTTAGCGCAGTTTTGTAAGACATCATCTAAATAAATTATAAACTTCCCATTTAGCAGCATTTTACCCCAGAATGATTTGTAGTTTGATTATTGCAGTCACAATCTGATTTCATTTGCACAGAAAATGTTTTTTCAAGCGTTACGGTAGTACCCGTGTGATGCAAATTTTTTATTGTAGTTGAATAATAAATGCCGTGTACCTCATATGGCGCACGTTGCCTAGAAAGATGAAAGTTTCCATCCCAGGCGACATGCACCAATAGAGGCTCACGGTTTTTATGTCAGAAGCTTGTAGAACTCGCTCAGACAAGAGTAGCACACTAGCCCTGATCTTGCTGCCTTGTCTGTAACTTAAGGGGACCTTCTACCCTAAAATTTTCAATTATGTCGTTTTCCGGTTTTTATACTCATCTTAAAGCTGGAATTCTCCTCTTTCCAATGGTATCACTGCCATCTCTCTACGTGAATATTTACGTTCATGACGGCTCTTTAAACGGAGACGGGTGGGAGAGTTCTTTAACTAATTACATATAAATTAATTAACTGCTGAAATCTTTGAATATAGTTTCTACCTGAGTTGTGCTGCAGTTACATGCTTAGTCTCATCTTAAAGCTGACATTTTAAGCTTTCCAATGATACTACTGCGATCTATGTACGCCAAAATTAGATATTGTCGGACGATATTTGTGGGGGGAGATAGATTTTCTATAGTACCCGTTATTTGTCCGTTTTCTATGAATATCACGTTTTCTATCAATTTTTTCGAAAAATTCATATAAGTAAAATGTTATTATTTTTACATTTTACGTATGTATGTGAAGTTTCATGATGATCGGACAATAACTGTAGGAGTTATAGGCTACCTCGGTTTTAGGGTAGAAGGTCCCCTTAAGTTATTCAAGTTTGAATGAGTCGCACCACAGGAATACAGGCTATTTTGCGAGTCGCAGTCAAAGTGTTAATCAAAGATTTTTGCTTAAATTTTGAATTTAAGCAAAAATTTAAATAAAATCTTCTTGGGGAGCAGGGGCCAAACTTTTAAAGTTCGCTAAGTGAACGTAGGTGCTTACGCTCTATTTTCTTGTCTATGATTGGTGGATTTTGCTTGAGAGGCCGTCAATGATTGGCAGATGAACTTACGATCTCTTAACTTTTTTTGAAAGTATGGGCCCAGAACAGCCTGGATGTTAGGCATAACTCCTAACATCCAGGTCACTAAATGCAATGGTCACTCCCTAAAGAAGCTTGTTGAGCTCCTCGTCATTACGTTGCATCCAAAAGGAAGAGGAGGACTTTGGAATACTGCTGGTAAGTACCGTAATAGGTGAGTACACTCTGCGTGTTTAAAATACTTCGAAATTAAGTTTTATTTCAAGTGTCCCTTTTTACCCCATTTCCAGATTAATTCAGGAGCCTTTTATATTGAGTCTGGCACCTTACAAATATCATATGGAATTTTTTGAAGATGCCATTTGATAGCCCTTGCGAAGAGCTATAAAATGAGCCTAAACTTGTCTGTAAAATGTTTCATGGTAAGAAGTTATTAACAAGAAACGCTCAAAACTGTCCCCTTTTATCCCATTTAACAGTACCTTTCAAACCATGATCACAGCTTTTCTGTCATTTTGAGAACAGTAAGATTTCTGTTAGATTATTTATATACCTCTTATAAGTCTTATCTAATCAAGTACAGAACTCAGAAAAGCACTCTCAGCCTGCAAGATTCAAAATGTATTGAAAATTTAATTGTTACTTTGGAGCTACGAGTTATCAGTAATAAGTGCGAAAATACCAATCCTCTTTGGAGCCCCAAAATTATAATATAAATTAGCAAAGTTACATTCTTGCTGATGTTTCCACTTTCCAGGTCATTTGATCAGTTCTATGTATAATATACCGTAAACTGGGGTAACTTAGACTCCCGGGGTAACTTAGACCACTTTTCATTTTTTTAACAAAAACCCCCAAAACTCAAAAACTATTTGACATAGAAAAATTCTGTCAACGGGCATTAAAGGCCTAATACTGAGGCTACGTAACACAATAGAAAGATTTAAAAAGTTTGCATATCTAATAGGTTAAAAAATTAAAAATGTGACCCACGAAAAAAAGCTATTATTTAAAGCCTGTCGGAGTACCCCCTCCAATTTTTTTATTTTTTGGCAAAATAACTCCACAACTCTTCTAGTTACATATGCAACAAACAAATTTTAGGAAAGTCTCATAGTTTGCAAATGGGGGGCGCTGCCCCCCAATGGGGGAACTTAGACCACCTAATGTCAGCCCTGACGGGGTAACATAGACCGGCTTGGAAATTAATTTAAAATTACCATATATAACATTTCATCTTTGATACACCTATTAATGTTTTTTCTTTAGGTTTCAGACTCTACAGAGTCTTATATATGGTAATTTTAACTTAATTTCCAAGCTGGTCTATGTTAACCCTGTCAGGGCTGCCATTAGGTGGTCAGAGTTCCCCCGTTCGGGGGAACTTAGACCACCTGGGGGGCGGGACCCTCCATTTGCAAACTATGAAACTTTCCTCAAATTTGTCAGTTGCATATGTAACTAGAAGAGTTCTACTACAATGCACCAAAACCTGGAGTTATTTGGAGTTATTTTACCAAAAAATATAATTGATTTTACCACACAGTCTAAGATACCCCCAGAGCTGGGGTAAAAAAGACCATCGATTTTTTTTAAATTACATCAAAACTATGAGAGGCAGGAGCCAGCAATTTATGGTGAGTGAAGCTAGAGTGTAGACCTGTATTTTGCAGGTTTCAATTTAAGTTTAACTTATCTAGTAAAAAATGGCATCATTTAAAAAAAAAGTGGTCTAAGTTACCCCAGTTTACGGTATATACCTTAAAATGGTACCATGCTTATCTTTGTCCATGTCATGAATTGTGATCTTTGGAATATGGAAAAGCAATTAGCTGAATTTGACAACCACTTGACCATATCTTGGCCCTTTTGGGCAATAAATTTGGCATCCACAACATAAGTTACATAACTCAAGTCACCTAACCTAAGCCAAACTAGAAAATTGGGCCAAAGTCACCTTTAGCTATAAATGAGACAAAAATGCCCATGCCTCAAGTCAATTTTCTTTAATCAAGCTGTCTGTCCCTAGTCTCTATGCCATTGTCTTTGAGTTGAAGCCTGACTAGGTACTTCTTAATAAAAACTAAAAATTAGATAGAAATGCAATTATTGGTAGGTAATGTTAATTATATTTAATTTGTTAGACAAGATAA